TTGTATTGTCTTAATGGATTGATTAGATTTTAACATCGTTAAACTACTGTTGGTTCAAAATAATGAATGAAACTCGAGTTACTTTTCACTTTTTACAGTGTTAATGCATGAACTATCAATATAGTTTGATAAGTGGTAACATGGTGAAATATTTCTTCTGTAGCAATAGCGACAACAACTCCCATCTGTGAAGAAACGGATGGAATGGATTCAATAACAACAATACCTTCAACTGAAATTACAACAAATGACAAGAAGGCAGACATTGAAAATCTGCGACCTTCGTCTAAGACACCGTTTAAAAGTTCTGAAGACAAATTGGTTATAGAGTACGTGCCTACGAAGACAAGACCAATAGCCAATGTTGAACTGGTTTCTACTGATAATGTTAAGACATATACAGTGCAGTTCTTTAATGCAGATGGAACTGTGACAACGAGAAAGGTTAGTATGACTCTCACTAAATCATTAAGATAAATGGCATTGAATTTACTTTAACTTCGTCAAATGAAAATTCAATTGCTGCTAATGTGGTACGTGCAACTTGAATATGTTTTCCCTGTAAATCTTTAAACTTTTATTTTCTGTTCTGTAGGTGAATGTTGGCGAAAAGGCTACAAGTGTTGGAACTAAACCTGACGTGAGAAAAGTGAATGTAATTATCACACCTGATGACAAAGAAGATTCATACAAACCTGTTCAGCTTCAATTAAGTGTCCACGCCTGTTTTGAAGTCAGTAAGTAAATATAACCACATGTGTTTTAACTTCAGAAGTATTTCTTATCAATTTAACACTCGTGTAGTCTATTTGTCTATTAAATGTCTTGGTGTTCCTTGTCGAAATGAAACTATACGTACAGAATTAATTGTGGTAAATGTGTATGCATGGTAGTGGTCGATAAACTGTTATCCAAAAGATGTTTGAAATCTCTTCTTGACTAAAATGGGTGAAAGCTATTCAAACTTTGATTGTTTCATTTTTTCAGTGTCTACGTCAATTCCAAGTACAACAACAGTTCCACAGACAGCGTCTTCAGCAGTCATCACTACAGCCGAGGTTACACCAACACCTAAAGGTACACCAGAAATTTCAACTGAAACTACTCAAACATTAAAGGGTAATTGTTAAAAAACTTTCATAGTGTCAGTGGTATTTTCGGAAATATATTATTAGCAGGCTAAAGCTTTATTTCTGTAAATGGTTACAAAATAATATGATCGTCATTAATGTTTAACATTTTACAAAGATATTTTAGAAAGAAATTGAAAGATGCAACATTTGTGGAATAATATGATGCAAACTCAATTGGAAATTTTCGGTTGTTCTGATATATTTGACTGTTTGAATAATTATTTTTCAGTATCAAGTGGAAAAGTTACAACACCAACTCAAGTGTCAACTACAAGTGCATCTCCTGGGCTTTCAATTACAAGTTAGTTTGAATATTTTAGTTTGACTTGTAAAATTTATTTGCTTTATTTGCGCATATTTACAACGTAATTTTTTAAAAGTTTGCAACAGAAGATTATTACCCAGTCAATGCACCCGGATCATGCTCCTTTTGGAGTTAAAATAATTCCCTCATTTGTTTCTTTTGTTTTTCTTGATTTGTATTGTCTAAATGGATTGATTAGATTTTAACATCGTTAAACTACTGTTGGTTCAAAATAATGAATGAAACTCGAGTTACTTTTCACTTTTCACAGTGTTAATGCATGCACTATCATTATAGTTTGATAAGTGGTAACATGGTGAAATATTTCTTCTGTAGCAATAGCGACAACAACTCCCATCTGTGAAGAAACGGATGGAATGGATTCAATAACAACAATACCTTCAACTGAAATTACAACAAATGACAAGAAGGCAGACATTGAAAATCTGCGACCTTCGTCTAAGACACCGTTTAAAAGTTCTGAAGACAAATTGGTTATAGAGTACGTGCCTACGAAGACAAGACCAATAGCCAATGTTGAACTGGTTTCTACTGATAATGTTAAGACATATACAGTGCAATTCTTTAATGCAGATGGAACTGTGACAACGAGAAAGGTTAGTATGACTCTCACTAAATCATTAAGATAAATGGCATTGAATTTACTTTAACTTCGTCAAATGAAAATTCAATTGCTGCTAATGTGGTACGTGAAACTTGAATATGTTTTCCCTGTAAATCTTTAAACATTTATTTTCTGTTCTGTAGGTGAATGTTGGCGAAAAGGCTACAAGTGTTGGAACTAAACCTGACGTGAGAAAAGTGAATGTAATTATCACACCTGATGACAAAGAAGATTCATACAAACCTGTTCAGCTTCAATTAAGTGTCCACGCCTGTTTTGAAGTCAGTAAGTAAATATAACCACATGTGTTTTAACTTCAGAAGTATTTCTTATCAATTTAACACTTGTGTAGTCTATTTGTCTGTTAAATGTCTTGGTGTTCCTTGTCGAAATGAAACTATACGTACAGAATTAATTGTGGTAAATGTGTATGTATGGTAGTGGTCGATAAACTGTTATCCAAAAGATGTTTGAAATCTCTTCTTGACTAAAATGGGTAAAAGCTATTTCAAACTTTAATTGTTTCATTTTTTCAGTGTCTACGTCAATACCAAGTACAACAACAGTTCCACAGACAGCGTCTTCAGCAGTCATCACTACAGCCGAGGTTACACCAACACCTAAAGGTACACCAGAAATTTCAACTGAAACTACTCAAACATTAAAGGGTAATTGTTAAAAAACTTTCATAGTGTCAGTGGTATTTTCGGAAATATATTATTAGCAGGCTAAATCTTTATTTCTGTAAATGATTACAAAATAATATGATCGTCATTAATGTTTAACATTTTACAAAGATATTTTAGAAAGAAATTAAAAGCTGCAACATTTGTGGAATTATATGATGCAAACTCAATTAGAAATTTTCGGTTGTTCTGATATATTTGACTGTTTGAATAATTATTTTTCAGTATCAAGTGGAAAAGTTACAACACCAACTCAAGTGTCAACTACAAGTGCATCTCCTGGGCTTTCAATTACAAGTTAGTTTGAATATTTTAGTTTGACTTGTAAAATTTATTTGCTTTATTTGCGCATATTTACAACGTAATGTTTGAAAAGTTTGCAACAGAAGATTATTACCCAGTCAGTGCACCCGGATCATGCTCCTTTTGGAGTTAAAATAATTCCCTCATTTGTTTCTTTTGTTTTTCTTGATTTGTATTGTCTTAATGGATTGATTAGATTTTAACATCGTTAAACTACTGTTGGTTCAAAATAATGAATGAAACTCGAGTTACTTTTCACTTTTTACAGTGTTAATGCATGAATTATCAATATAGTTTGATAAGTGGTAACATGGTGAAATATTTCTTCTGTAGCAATAGCGACAACAACTCCCATCTGTGAAGAAACGGATGGAATGGATTCAATAACAACAATACCTTCAACTGAAATTACAACAAATGACAAGACAGTAGACATTGAAAATCTGCGACCTTCGTCTAAGACACCGTTTAAAAGTTCTGAAGACAAATTGGTTATAGAGTACGTGCCTACGAAGACAAGACCAATAGCCAATGTTGAACTGGTTTCCACTGATAATGTTAAGACATATACAGTGCAATTCTTTAATGCAGATGGAACTGTGACAACGAGAAAGGTTAGGATGACTCTCACTAAATCATTAAGATAAATGGCATTGAATTTACTTTAACTTCGTCAAATGAAAATTCAATTGCTGCTAATGTGGTACGTGAAACTTGAATATGTTTTCCCTGTAAATCTTTAAACTTTTATTTTCTGTTCTGTAGGTGAATGTTGGCGAAAAGGCTACAAGTGTTGGAACTAAACCTGACGTGAGAAAAGTGAATGTAATTATCACACCTGATGACAAAGAAGATTCATACAAACCTGTTCAGCTTCAATTAAGTGTCCACGCCTGTTTTGAAGTCAGTAAGTAAATATAACCACATGTGTTTTAACTTCAGAAGTATTTCTTATCAATTTAACACTCGTGTAGTCTATTTATTTGTTAAATGTCTTGGTGTTCCTTGTCGAAATGAAACTATACGTACAGACTTAATTGTGGTAAATGTGTATGCATGGTAGTGGTCGATAAACTGTTATCCAAAAGATGTTTTGAATCTCTTCTTGACTAGTATTGGTGAAAGCTATTCAAACTTTGATTGTTTCATTTTTTCAGTGTCTACGTCAATTCCAAGTACAACAACAGTTCCACAGACAGCGTCTTCAGCAGTCATCACTACAGCCGAGGTTACACCAACACCTAAAGGTACACCAGAAATTTCAACTGAAACTACTCAAACATTAAAGGGTAATTGTTAAAAAACTTTCATAGTGTCAGTGGTATTTTCGGAAATATATTATTAGCAGGCTAAAGCTTTATTTCTGTAAATGGTTACAAAATAATATGATCGTCATTAATGTTTAACATTTTACAAAGATATTTTAGAAAGAAATTGAAAGATGCAACATTTGTGGAATAATATGATGCAAACTCAATTGGAAATTTTCGGTTGTTCTGATATATTTGACTGTTTGAATAATTATTTTTCAGTATCAAGTGGAAAAGTTACAACACCAACTCAAGTGTCAACTACAAGTGCATCTCCTGGGCTTTCAATTACAAGTTAGTTTGAATATTTTAGTTTGACTTGTAAAATTTATTTGCTTTATTTGCGCATATTTACAACGTAATTTTTGAAAAGTTTGCAACGGGAGATTATTACCCAGTTAATGCACCCGGATCTTGCTCCTTTTGGGGTTAAAGTAATTCCCTCATTTGTTTCTTTTGTTTTTCTTGATTTGTATTGTCTTAATGGATTGATTAGATTTTAACATCGTTAAACTACTGTTGGTCCAAAAGAATGAATGAAACTCGAGTTACTTTTCACTTTTTACAGTGTTAATGCATGAACTATCATTATCGTTTGATAAGTGGTAACATGGTGAAATATTTCTTCTGTAGCAATAGCGACAACAACTCCCATCTGTGAAGAAACGGATGGAATGGATTCAATAACAACAATACCTTCAACTGAAATTACAACAAATGACAAGAAGGCAGACATTGAAAATCTGCGACCTTCGTCTAAGACACCGTTTAAAAGTTCTGAAGACAAATTGGTTATAGAGTACGTGCCTACGAAGACAAGACCAATAGCCAATGTTGAACTGGTTTCTACTGATAATGTTAAGACATATACAGTGCAATTCTTTAATGCAGATGGAACTGTGACAACGAGAAAGGTTAGTATGACTCTCACTAAATCATTAAGATAAATGGCATTGAATTTACTTTAACTTCGTCAAATGAAAATTCAATTGCTGCTAATGTGGTACGTGAAACTTGAATATGTTTTCCCTGTAAATCTTTAAACTTTTATTTTCTGTTCTGTAGGTGAATGTCGGCGAAACGGCTACAAGTGTTGGAACTAAACCTGACGTGAGAAAAGTAAATGTAATTATCACACCTGATGACAAAGAAGATTCTTACCAACCTGTTCAGCTTCAATTAAGTGTCCACGCCTGTTTTGAAGTCAGTAAGTAAATATAACCACATGTGTTTTAACTTCAGAAGTATAACTTATTAATTTAACACTCGAGTGGTCTATTTTTCTGTTAAATGTTCTGGTGTTCCTTGTCGAAATTAAACTATACGTACATGATTAATTGTGGCAAATTTCTATACATGGTAGTGGTCCATAAACTGTTAGCCAAAAGATGTTTGAAATCTTTTTGACTAAAATGGGTGAATGCTGTTCAAACTTTGATTCATTTTTTCAGTTTCTACTTCAATTCCAAGTACAACAACAACTCCACAGACAGCGTCTTCAGCAGTAATCACTACAGCCGAGGTTACACCAACACCTACAGCTACATCCGAAATTTCAACCGGAACTACTCAAACATTAAAGGGTAATCGTTAAAAACCTTTTTCAGTGTCAGTGGTATTTTCTGAAAGATATTGTTAGCAGGCTAAAGCTATATATTTTTTAAATGATTACAAAACAAAATGATCGTCATTGATGTTAAACATTATACAACGATATTTTAGAAAGAAATTGAAAAATGCAACATTTTTTGAATAATATGATGTAAAAACAATTGACATTTTCAATTGTTCAGAAATATGACTTTTTGAATAATTATTTTTCAGTATCAAGTGGAAAAGTTACAACACCAACTCAAGTGTCAACGACAAGTCCATCTCCTGGGCTTTCAATTACAAGTAAGTTTGAATATTTTAAGTTTTCCTGTAATATTTATTTGTTTTATTTACTCATGTTCACAACGTCATTTTTGAAATGTTTTCAACAGAGATGATAACTTAGTCAATGCAGCAGATCATGCTTCTTTTGGAGTTAAGATAATTCCTCGTTTGTTTATTTTGTTTTCCTAGATTTGTATTGTCTGAATGAATTTTTTAAATTTCAACATAGGTAAACTACTTTTATTGATTCGAGCGTCACTGATGAGTCTTTTGTAGACGAAACGCGCGTCTGGCGCAAATACAAAAGTTCAATCCTGGCATTTACAATGAGTTTATTTTAAATCAATGAATGAAACACAGGTTACTTTTCACTTATTATAGTTTTGATGGATATTTCTTCTATAGCAATAGCGACAACAACTCCCATCTGTGAAGAAACGGATGGAATGAATTCAATAACAACAATACCTTCAACTGAAATTACAACAAATGACAAGACAGCAGAAAATGAAAATCTGCGACCTTCGTCTAAGACACCGTTTAGAAGTTCTGAAGACAAATTGGTTATAGAGTATGTGCCTACGAAGACAAGACCAATAGCCAATGTTGAACTGGTTTCTACTGATAATGTTAAGACGTATACAGTGCAATTCTTTAATGCAGATGGAACTGTGACAACGAGAAAGGTTAGTGTGACTCTAAATAAATCATAAGAATAAATGATGTCAAATTTACTCTTTCTTCGTCAAAAAAAATTCAATTGCTGTTAATAATGTTTGTGAACCTTGAATAATTTTGCCTTGTAAATCTTTAAACTTTGTATTTGTTCTGTAGGTGAAAGTTGGCGAAAAGGCTACAAGTGTTGGAACTAAACCTGACGTGAGAAAAGTGAATGTAATTATCACACCTGATGACAAAGAAGATTCTTACAAACCTGTACAGCTTCAATTAAGTGTCCACGCCTGTTTTGAAGTCAGTAAGTAAATATAACCACATGTGTTTTAACTTCAGAAGTATAACTTATTAATTTAACACTCGTGTAGTCTATTTTTCTGTTAAATGTTTTGGTGTTCCTTGTCGAAATGAAACTATACGTACATAATTATTGTGGTAAATTTGTATACATGGTAGTGGTCGATAAACTGTTAGCCAAAAGATGTTTGAAATCTTCTTGACTAAAATGGGTGAATGCTGTTCAAATTTTGTTTCATTTTTTTCAGTTTCTACTTCAATTCCAAGTACAACAACAGTTCCACAAACAGCGTCTTCAGCAGTAATTATTACAGCCGAGGTTACACCAACACCTACAGCTACATCCGAAATTTCAACTGAAACTACTCAAACATTAAAGGGTAATCGTTAAAAAACTTTTAAAGTGTCAGTGGTATTTTCTAAAAGACATTGTTAGCAGGCTAAAGCTTTATATTTTTTAAATGATTACAAAACAAAATGATCGTTATTCATGTTTAACATTATACAACGATATTTTAGAAAAAAATTGAAAGATGCAACATTTGTGGAATAATATGATGTAAAAACAATTAAACTTTTCAGTTGTTCTGATATATTTGACTTTTTGAATAATTATTTTTCAGTATCAAGTGGAAAAGTTACAACACAAACCCAAGTGTCAACGACAAGGCCATCTCCTGGGCTTTCAATTACAAGTAAGTTTGAATATTTTAAGTTTTCCTGTAATATTTATTTGTTTTATTTACTCATGTTCACAACGTCATTTTTGAAAAGTTTGCAACAGAGATGATAACTTAGTCAATGCACCAGATCATGCTTCTTTTGGAGTTAAGATAATTCCCTCGTTTGTTTATTTTGTTTTCCTTGACTTGTATTGTCTGAATGAATTTTTTAAATTTTAATATAGGTAAACTACTTTTATTGATTCGAGCGTCACTGATGAGTCTTTTGTAGACGAAACGCGAGTCTGGCGCAAATACAAAATTTCAATCCTGGTATCTACATGTATGATGAGTTTATTTTTAATCAATGAATGAAACAAAGGTTACTTTTCACTTATTATAGTATCAATGGATATTTCTTCTGTAGCAATAGCGACAACAACTCCCATCTGTGAAGAAACGGATGGAATGGATTCAATAACAACAATACCTTCAACTGAAATTACAACAAATGACAAGACAGCAGAAATTGAAAATCTGCGACCTTCGTCACAGACACCGTTTAAAAGTTCTGAAGACAAGTTGGTTATAGAGTATGTGCCTACGAAGACAAGACCAATAGCCAATGTTGAACTGGTTTCTACTGATAATGTTAAGACGTATACAGTGCAATTCTTTAATGCAGATGGAACTGTGACAACGAGAAAGGTTAGTGTGACTCTAAATAAATCATAAGAATAAATGATATTAGATTTACTCTTTCTTCGTCAAAAAAAATTCAATTGCTGTTAATGTTGTTTGTGAACCTTGAATAATTTTGCCTTGTAAATCGTTAAACCTTGTATTCGTTCTGTAGGTGAAAATTGGCGAAAAGGCTACAAGTGTTGGAACTAAACCTGACTTGAGAAAAGTGAATGTAATTATCACACCTGATGACAAAGAAGATTCTTACAAACCTGTAGAGCTTCAATTAAGTGTCCACGCCTGTTTTGAAGTCAGTAAGTAAATATAACCACATGTGTTTTAACTTCAGAAGTATAACTTATTAATTTAACACTCGTGTATATAGATATAAGAAGATGTGTAGTCTATTTGTCTTTTAAATGTCTTGGTGTTCCTTGTTGAAATGAAACTATACGTACATATTTAATTGTGGTAAAATTGTATACATGGTAGTGGTCGATTAACTGTTAGCCAAAAGATGTTTGAAATCTTCTTGACTAAAATGAGTGAAGGCTGTTCAAACTTTGTTTCATTCTTTCAGTTTCTACTTCAATTCCAAGTACAACAACAGTTCCACAGACAGCGTCTTCAGCAGTAATCACTACAGCCGAGGTTACACCAACACCTACTGCTACATCCGAAATTTCAACTGAAACTACTCAAACACTAAAGGGTAATCGTTAAAAAAGTTTTAAAGTGTCAGTGGTATTTTCTGAAAGATATTGTTAGCAGGCTAAAGATATATTTTTTAAATGATTACAAAACAAAATGATCGTAATTCATGTTTAACATTATACAAAGATATTTTAGAAAGAAATTGAAAGATGCAACATTTGTGAAATAATATGATGTAAAAACAATTGAAATTTTCAGTTGTTCTGATTTATTTGACTTTTTGAAAAATTATTTTTCAGTATCAAGTGGAAAAGTTACAACACCAACCCAAGTGTCAACGACAAGGCCATCTCCTGGGCTTTCAATTACAAGTAAGTTTGAATATTTTAAGTTTTCCTGTAATATTTATTTGTTTTATTTACTCATGTTCACAACGTCATTTTTGAAAAGTTTGCAACAGAGATGATAACTTAGTCAATGCACCAGATCATGCTTCTTTTGGAGTTAAGATAATTCCCTCGTTTGTTTATTTTGTTTTCCTTGACTTGTATTGTCGGAATGAATTTTGTAAATTTCAACATAGGTAAACTACTTTTATTGATTCGAGCGTCACTGATGAGTCTTTTGTAGGCGAAACGCGCGTCTGGCGCAAATACAAAATTTCAATCCTGGTATCTACATGTATGATGAGTTTATTTTTAATCAATGAATGAAACACAGGTTACTTTTCACTTATTATAGTAATAACGGATATTTCTTCTGTAGCAATAGCGACAACAACTCCCATCTGTGAAGAAACGGATGGAATGAATTCAATAACAACAATACCTTCAACTGAAATTACAACAAATGACAAGACAGCAGAAATTGAAAATCTGCGACCTTCGTCTAAGACACCGTTTAAAAGTTTTGAAGACAAATTGGTTATAGAGTATGTGCCTACGAAGACAAGACCAATAGCCAATGTTGAAGTGGTTTCTACTGATAATGTTAAGACGTATACAGTGCAATTCTTTAATGCTGATGGAACTGTGACAACGAGAAAGGTTAGTGTGACTCTAAATAAATCATAAGAATAAATGATATTAAATTTACTCTTTTTTTCCAAAAAAAAATTCAATTGCTGTTAATGTTGTTTGTGAACCTTGAATAATTTTGCCTTGTAAGTCTTTAAACTTTGTATTTGTTCTGTAGGTGAAAGTTGGCGAAAAGGCTACAAGTGTTGGAACTAAACCTGACGTGAGAAAAGTGAATGTAATTATCACACCTGATGACAAAGAAGATTCTTACAAACCTGTACAGCTTCACTTAAGTGTCCACGCCTGTTTTGAAGTCAGTAAGTAAATATAACCACATGTGTTTTAACTTCAGAAGTATAACTTATTGATTTAACACTCGTGTAGTCTATTTGTCTGTTAAATGTCTTGGTGTTCCTTGTCGAAATGAAACTATACGTACATAATTAATTGTGGTAAATTTGTATACATGGTAGTGGTCGATTAACTGTTAGCCAAAAGATGTTTGAAATCTTCTTGACTAAAATGGGTGAATGCTGTTCAAACTTTGTTTCATTTTTTCAGTTTCTACTTCAATTCCAAGTACAACAACAGTTCCACAGACAGCGTCTTCAGCAGTAATCACTACAGCCGAGCCTACACAAACACCTACAGCTACATCCGAAATTTCAACTGAAACTACTCAAACACTAAAGGGTAATCGTTAAAAAAGTTTTACAGTGTCAGTAGTATTTTCTGAAAGATATTGTTAGCAGGCTAAAGCTATATATTTTTTAAATGATTACAAAACAAAATGATCGTTGTTAACAATATACAACGATATTTTAGAAAGAAATTGAAAGTTGCAACATTTGTGCAAAAATATGATGTAAAAACAATTGAAATTTTCAAATGTTCTAATATATTTGACTTTTTAAATAATTATTTTTCAGTATCAAGTGGAAAAGTTACAACACCAACCCAAGTGTCAACGACAAGGCCATCTCCTGGGCTTTCAATTACAAGTAAGTTTGAATATTTTAAGTTTTCCTGTAATATTTATTTGTTTTATTTACTCACGTTTACAACGTTATTTTTGGAAAATGACGCAGTTAATTTTACAATACCATTGACCAGCTTCCAAGCCGCTTTCCGAACTCTGTTTCGTATTTTACATACTCATGTACTATACAGAATTTCATTTTTAACCTGTCCATTTGTTCATTGTTATTAAAATGGTATTTTGAGCTATCTCTTTGGTATATTTTCATATTTATACGAGCTTTCGCTTATATGTGCATGTCTTTACAATCTGTAAAAAAGTCAGAATATAAATAGAGCCGTTTTGTTATGGTTTTGAACTTTTTACATACCAATGATAACCAATAGCTAGACAAAATAGTTCTTGAAAGAATGTCAACCTTTCTTGTCAGCTGAACTTTAAAATCATTAAAGAAATAATAATCGGAATCATCTTGATATCGATACGAAAGATAATGCTCTTTATTAAGACTTAAGAAATTTTAAGAATGAAAAAAATAGTAATACAATTATATCCACGCGGTGCGTATGAAATTTGTTTACAAAGTTATAGCTGCAGACATAGGGACCAGTTCAGTTAAAGATGAAAATCGCGGCTTTGGCATTAGTTTTTCTGTCAAAAAACTTTATTACAAGTGGATTTTTCACTTTAAAAAGAATTAGAAGAAGCAAAAACTTTATGAAAGGAATGGACAGTTAAGGAATGTTTTACCTTTTCTGACAACGTGGTCTCGTCCATTTTTTGAAACATCTACGATTATTTCATTACTTTTTCGTGTTTACAACTAAACTGTTGAACATGTATTGTATTGAAAAAAGCATTCCTGTTGTCCAGGGGTTCATTACAAGCCCGTATTTTACGATTACTTGTCCTTGCATCGCTATTTTCAAAATCGAAGAGAGGATAACTAAACGAAAAATTCTTGAAAATATGATTATAAAATATCGAGATTTGCTATCCACTTTTTAATATCTTTTAATTAAATATTATTTTAAAATCAATGTTAACAGTTGCTGGCTTGGATTAGGAATGGTATTTATTGATTCATAGAGAAACATTCATTAGTCCATTCTCAATTTTATTAGTGTAAACAGGAAGTTGCGTATTAAGGGAGACAATTTTGGTGGACAAAAGTGCTAAAACAAGTATTGTCAAATCTTGTAAATTATTTCTGGTGGCAATAATTCAAATATTCATAAAATTACAAAACACTACTTTTAAAGGTGGTTGTAATGTTTCAATTGGCAAACATTTCTTTATTGATAATCCACATTTAGTAATAAAAAATAAGATTTCTATCATATTCATCTTGGAATATGATCAAATATGTTCTGTAAGCCTTCTATAAACATATCTTCAATAAGATATCAGTACTTATGGAAAGAGTTATTCCACTTCTTCCTTTCATATAAAAGGATATACCAATTTTAATTGCAAAATTGTTATTGGATAGATGTGAATAAGAGTTATTAAAAAAATCCAATTTTGTCATTGAAAACCTTCTTTAAATATGTGTCAGTAAATTATGAAGCTGTAAAGAATATATAACTAGTTAATATGCATTAAGTCAAACAACTAAATGTGAGAAAAAAAGATATACCTACTCCGTACTGTGCTACATTTGGGGATGGGTGGTAATGAAATCAAATTATTTAAGTTATCAAGGCATTTAAAGTTTTAAAGTTTAATAATAAAAATGTCACTTATTTGCTGCGACTGTCATACAAGTGAGAGGTTTAGCGCTATAAAACCAGGTTCAATCTACCATTTTCTACATTTGAAAATGCCTGTACCAAGTCGGGAATATGACAGTTGTTGTCCATTCGTTTGATGTGTTTTATCATTTGATTTTGCCATTTGATTGGGGACTTTCCGTTTTGAATTTTCCTCGGAGTTCAGTATTTTTGTGATTTTACTTTTTGCATTTCTGTTAATGCACATGGTACATGTATAAAAATGCAGGTCTTTGTCTATTTAATATAAGATAACCAACAAGGTAGTTATAAATAAATGTAACATCAAGTCACAAACACAAAACTTAAGGTGAATCAATCTAATATCGCACACTTACCACAGCGCTATAAACAAATCCTAGGGAGAACACTGAATTGTATTGCATTAGAGTTATATAATACACCTTGCCTAAGAAATAGGTCTAGCTAGGTCCTTATAAAAATGAGGCTTAAATGATGTAAAATTACCATATTTACATTACAGCTGCATTTTTTGCATTTAATATATCATATATGTACATAGAGACCAACAGATTAAATGCACATGGGTTTAATTACCACCCTAGGCAATAATTTTAATAGGCGGCACCAAATAGGGCAGATTTGCCTATATATGTCGTGTCCCCACATCTACTTTGTTGTTCATAAGCCTCAAAATTCTAAGTATAGATCAGCAGCTCCTCTAAGAATTAGCAATAGAGCTCTTTATATATAGTCCAGTGGCATAGTCCTGTCTTTTTTGTCTCTCTTATTTTCTTATTTATATTTTTCTTATTTTCTTTCTTATATTTTCTTGTAAGCTACCAAGCCACAACTCCTCTTTTTCCTATGGTGCCTGAAAACAATGAACCGGTTTTGTTCATTTTTCAGGTCTGAAAAGTGACTAATAACTGCCAACAGCCACATTATTTGGACTCTGGTGGATAGTTATCAGACTGTTATCTCATTGGCAATCATACCACATCTCCTTATTTTAGTACGGATTAATTGTTTGAAATAAATGACTAACAAACATTAAATCATTTGAAAAAAAATAATTTTGAAATAATTTATGTTGTAATTTTAAGATTCTAGTTTATTTTTATATATCAACGATAAGTTTTATAAATGGTGTCAATTTGTTTGTAATTGTCAAACTAGTATAACAATACTATTGTCTACATCTACAGAAATTGATCATGCTTTAAGTAACAGAAATAACAATGTCACTAGGTCACCTGTAACCTATCTCTTAAATAAGGACTATGTGGGGTATAAGAGCTTGCTTACTACAGGCGCTTCGTAATCATTTTATTAAATATTTCTACAAAGAAGGGCCCCCCGGATAGTCTGTTAATGTATACTTGACTAAGAATTATGAAATTGCATGAAACAAATTCACATATTACTTTGAATATTTTAAATTGTTTAGGTATTCTTGAGTTATTTCTTTGTACAACAGAATAACCAGTAGTAATCTTCACTTTACACACACACACATATATAAATAAACAAGTCTAAATTGAAAACAACGTTCAAACCTATATTTGCGTTGGATAAAAACCGCAATTTTTATACGTGTGCATGCAAAACAAATTTCTTGGTAGAGTGGTCTAAATACAGCACAAACAACATTTTTCAAAAGACCAAAAACAGTGAAAAAGTATATTTTAACAACCCTGCTAACTGCCATTGGCGATTGCAAAATAAACGGATCACCAGATGTAACAAAATGGATCTTAACTGTTAACTTAATACCAAACAGAAATCAATAAACTTGCGGAAAAGATGGTATACCACAAACAAAAGGTGCAAAATTAGTACATTATATCCGGATTTCGACAATTAATGTCTCTTTAGTGATGTTAGAAATCGAAACGGTATTTGGAAGGCCATATAATTTACCTCAATTTAGGATAGACTCTTGAATTTTGAAGAGTCGAAATAGGATGAACGGATCATATAAACCCGAAGGCAAATATAATACAAGCACAAACGAAAAAATATAAACAAGTCTAAATTGAAAACAACGTTCAAACCTATATTTGCGTTGGATAAAAACCGCAATTTTTATACGTGTGCATGCAAAACAACTTTTTTGGTAAAGGAGTCTAACGGCAGCACAAACAACATTTATATATATTGACAAACAAATAAAAAAAGCCATAGACATTGAAAACAATTCATATCTATTCTATTGTCAGTCAGCCTACCTACCATGAACTGAAAAGTCTCATAAGATTAAGTAGGTAAATTATGTGAAAATCAAGACTTGTATCAAAAATATACCAATATTAGAGACAATGGCGTCATTTTTCCTCAGAGCTTTCAGCTTTTTGATTGAAAATTTTGCAACAGAGATGATTACTTGATAAATGATCATGATCCTTTTGGAGTTAAAATATTTCCCTCGAATGTTTATTTTGTTTTCCTTGATTTGTATTGTCTTAATGAATTTTTTAAATGATAACATAGGTTAACTACTGTTGGTTTTAATTAATGAATGAAACCCAGGTTACTTTTCACTTCTTATAGTGTTAATGGATATTTCTTCTGTAGCAATAGCGACAACAACTCCCATCTGTGAAGAAACGGATGGAATGGATTCAATAACAACAATACCTTCAACTGAAATTACAGCAAATGACAAGACAGCAGAAATTGAAAATCTGCGAACTTCGTCTAAGACACCATTTAAAAGTTCTGAAGGCAAATTGGTTATAGAGTACGTGCCTACGAAGACAAGACCAATAGCCAATGTTGAACTGGTTTCTACTGATAATGTTAAGACGTATACAGTGCAATTCTTCAATGCAGATGGAACTGTGACAACGAAAAAGGTTAGAATGACTCTCACTAAATCATAAGAGTAAATGATATTAAATTTACTCTTTCTTCGTCAAAAAAAAAAAAAAATTCAATTGCTGCTAATGTGGTTTGTGAAACTTGAAAAATTTTGCCTTGTAAATCTTTAAACTTTTTTTTGTCTGTAGGTGAAAGTTGGCGAAAAGGCTACAAGTGTTGGAACTAAACCTGACGTGAGAAAAGTGAATGTAATTATCACACCTGATGACAAAGAAGATTCTTACAAACCTGTACAGCTTCAATTAAGTGTCCACGCCTGTTTTGAAGTCAGTAAGTAAAGAAAATCCACAGGTGTTTGAACTGCAGATGTATATCTTATTATCATTTCAACACTCGTGTAATTGATTGGTGTGTCTTGTTGACATGAAACTATATGTAAAAAATATTAACAAAAATACCGACTTTCCAAGGTAAATTACTAAAGGAGGAAGACCTTAAAACCCGACAAAATCAAACGCTACACTATATCAACCAACGGAACAAGTCATATTTCTTGCTTGGTTTAGGCATATGACGAAAACATGGCGTGTTAATCCTGGTTTTATAGTAATCTAAAGCTCCCACTTGTATGAAAGTTTTCATAATTCCGTTATATGACAAAATTAGGAAAGCAACCACAACAGACATAACTGGTTAACGTGACAATAACTGTGATCAAGCAGCACAAAGTGTGTAAACAAACATCACAGACATCAAACACAATTGAAAATTCAATTATATATACAAATTAAAATGAATAAGAAGATAACAAAAGTTTTGTAGTTGATAGTACATGCAGTAAAGAATCAACTGTACATGCAAACGTTGTGTGATTTCTTATTGTTATTAATGTTCTATTGATGTTCAAACCTTGTTGATTTCTTTTTGTCAGCTTCGACGTCAATTCCAAGTACAACTACTGTCCCACAGACGTCATCAACAGGAAGCACCACAGTCGAAGCTATACCTACAATTTCAAGTGAAACTACTACATCATTAACGGGTAAGCTGTTTCATAGTTCCACTGATATCTTCTAAAAGAACTGTTATAGCGACATGTGTATGATATATCAAGGTAGTTGACATCAAAGAGATGCTTTATATAATTGATAACAAAAAGTAAGAGAGGCAACATTTGATTACTATTAAGATGTAAAAAAACATCATTTCAATTTGTCTGAGATACAATGTATTTGACTTTTAAACAATTGATTTTCAAGGGCCATTCGCAATCGATGATGACACTAAATCAAGTGTCAACGACAAGTCCTTTCCTTGTTTTTCAAGTACGAAAAAGATTTAATATTGAAGCTTTTTTATAATATTTATTTGTTTAATGTTCACACGTTAAGGTATACTTCATTTAAAAAAGATATTAAAGAATGATAAATGAAAGATGCTACATTTGTTTAGTCTCATCACCTGTTATTATTTTTTTCTTATTTCAGTCAATAAATAGTTTTGTAATTGCATAATTCGGTGAAATTTACTTGAATTTCGGTTGATTTACTGTTATCTTATGAAAATACAGTTTACAAAACATACGGACCACCACACAAACGGTTCTTAATTGAAGACTACTGAAATTTAATCTCAGTTAATTTTAAGTCCTGAAATAGTCAAATCCATGTATACGACAATTAGCTCATGATAGACATAGGAAACACATCGGTTGTAAAGAAAAAATGTCGCATGGTAAAGAAAACTCCAATGTTTTAACAACATTTTCCATAAAGATTTAAGCTATGTTTGAGCAAGTAACCGTTATTGTAAACAATTTTAGATTTTTTTTTATGTGTTTGTCTTTTACTATTTTATAATTAGTCATTGTCAAAACTATTTGTCCGTGCTTAAAGAAACCAACTAGTGCTGAGAAAGCATGAAAATCCGGAATTTGTCCGTCACTGGTAACAAAAAATTCTAAAATATAATTATTCCCCTTTAGTCGCAAAACGATAACTGTTAAAGCTAATTTGTTGAATATAATTGTTTGTAAAAATAATTCAAAACCTTTATTATGTCTGATATATGAATCTTATTTCAATGTTACTCTACTAGTTCATTTCATTATTATTAAGGTAGACCAGTATACATTCAACTTTGTTCCGAATATCAAAAACTTGGTTCAAGTAAGTGCAGATCTGTTTTGCATTCGCCAAATTATGAATTGGATATACTCAAAACAATTATATCGATAACCTAAACAGAGCTTTATGTTTCTCCCTGAAAGTCAGAAAAAAAGTTTTAAACCGTTTGCTGATTATTGCATTAAAGTGTTATTAAATCTGCGTTTCATATTGATCTTGGATAATGTTTAAGTACAGATAATGTTTAAGTACAGGCGTATTTGCTTGAGGCGTAGCCGAGGGCCAATACAGATGATAGAGACCCCATACGACTGTTCGAGTTCTGTGCATTCAGTTAAACCCCTGCTCTCTCTTTAAATTTTATTGCTGTATAAGTGTTTAATGTTGAAGACTTTACAAAAAACGAATGCGTACAAAACTGTCTAAAAGAAAGACTTCTAAAGATTTGCCATTTACATATGCAATGGTAGATCAGAAATTTGGTTTAATTATGTAAAATCCTGAAGATTTAAATCGATATACGTGTATAACAATTAAATGTTTTACGTATATAGGGCTTCACTTATTTTAAATTTCGAGCAAACGTTTCGTAGGCTTTTCCAAAAACAGGATTAGATGTGTACTGAAATAGTTTTGTCATAGCACAACTAGTATAAGTTGAATGTCTGCTGTTTGAAAACATTGGCTTGCTGTAGCGTGTGCATATGTTAATGTTCCTGAAAGTAGAACAGTTTTGCTATTATTAGACCTTTGAAATTTATAATGTGACTTCAATCACGATCAAATTGAGTTCTCTTGAGTTTTCTTTGATTGCCAGTGTGTTTCGTGTTTTATACATTATACTTGGACTACATTTTAGGAAATTGTGATGCCCCTCTTGGATTAGAATCTGGAAAGATATCCTCGTCGAAAATTAAATACTCCACTTCGGATAATGGTAGTGGTTTTGGTAGACTTAATCAAACACCGTGGGTGCCGAAAAAAGGTTTTGAATCCGGGTCTTACATAGAAGTCTTATTTCACGGACAGACAGGTGCATTTTCAAGAATCAACTTTCAAGGTGGAAGTATCAATGGTGTGGGGTCTGGATATGTTACCTCATTTAAGATCGAAGTTCGTGAAAAAAGTGGAAATTGGAAACCTGTAAAAGGCGTAAGTTATCATGGTAACTAAATGTTCATTATGTATATCTATTCCAGAACATATTATGATATTGACCGAACTGGCTTTACTATAGCCGTATACAGAATAAGTTAAAACACAAAGATGCATTGGTTATCGCAAAATATATCTACTTCATCCATTTACAAATATTTGCCATTGATTTTCTTGTTGTTTAATATAGTTTCCTGTTACAGGCTGATCTAAACCGTTTTGATTAACCTTTCTTTGTATTCAGTCAAGCAATGACTTACCTAGAAACATAATGAAGGCAATCAGATAAACAATAAAAATATGAAATCATTGTAAAAGAACATTCACATGATGAGATGTTAAATGAGCATTATTATCAGATAAACTAATGTCAATTTCAGGTTTTCAAAGGCAGTCAGAATGCTGACACAGTTGTCAGCAAACGAATTTATCCAATGGCAAATGGAGATGGGATCCGAATATACCCACTCACTTGGTTCAATAGACCATTATTTAGATTTGAACTGTTTGGCTGTATCTTTTGTAAGTAACTTTCAATTAACAAGCTTTCGTGTGTTTATTTGTTTTGTGTAAGATTTCAGCGTCTCAACTAAAAATGGATATTTTGTAGTCGACATTAATAAATTAAAAGTTACACATAGTAAACATTCATTGTGACTAGTTTGTCTAATTATACAATATATATGAAGATATGTATAGATATGAAAAAACAGTGAATGAAGGCTAAAAGTGGTATTCTACAGTTATATCAAATGAGTTGAGTTTATAATCCTGTATAACTTCGTACATTTTGGTGTGTGTCGTATGTATTATTTTACATGTACTCACCAATAGCTTTTATCTCCAACAGTCATGGCTGGCAAAACCTCTTTTGATGCTAGATTGTTTTATTAATGTTTGAAAATCGGCTTTCAAACGCTGATAAAACTAACTAGAAAGATCTTTACTTTTCAGAAATAATATGGTCTTCTCCAATTATCAATGTGTCTATGTTTCAAAATGCAACCATGAGTTTGGGTATTCATTTGATTTTCTTTTCATTATTCTTCTATATATTTTAATTTTTGAGAGTTGTGAGTAGTTTATAAAACAGACAACTGCTAAGGAAACTGGTTGGACATATGCTTCTATGACCACTTATCATTCCGTGTAGTATAACTTAATACATCAACATGATTTTTTCAGACTCACTGCCATAAGATATTTCCTATAGCTAAAAAATACTTTTAATTTTAGCAAGTAGTACAACCGAGAGTATGAGTACACCATTACCTTCAGAAAGTAAGTTGCATAGATGTTTAAAGTAACTGTTAAGTCTTTGTATAATTCATTGAAATTTAACTTGTGTCCACTTCTAACATAAATGTTGTTTCTGAGTTCAATATAAATTAATCTTTCAATTACAATTATATTGATCCAATTTATTGACGTATGACTATTGTATAATAACATGTATAAATATTTTCATGTAATATGATTTAAAAACAATATAATATAAACAACCAACTAGCAAACCTAATAGGTATTTGAAATAATAGTTCCATCCCTGTCTTCTATATATTTCATCAATATTGTTGCACAAATATTAGACTTCAATATATATAGATAGATGTATTTAAAAATATTTTATCTTTATTTCTTATAATTACAGCTGATTGTTACCTTGAACCCTGATCCCATTACCTTACCAGTACCTTTTGATGGTTCATCTATATGCATAAAACCTTGCTTGTTATGTTATATACTAACATTTATTTCATCAGGCTGTTTATCTGATGAAAGTATACTAAGAATTCCGAAATATTTGTTGTGTTTATTTCACTACCATTTTTGTATTTTTGTTATATTCTACATTTGGTGTCATTTAATTGCATGTCATATTATTGAACGTAACAACTTTTTAGATTCTAACTATTGATTTACTTACTTTAAATTTATATAAATAGGTTTTTAAATTATTTCAGGAGCCTCACAAGTAATTTGATAAATCGAACTGTAGTAATTTAAGAGCCTATTTATCAGTATAGTAATTTTACATCCATTAGCTAGCTTTTTCATAATATATCTACAATATATATGATCATAATTTGATTTTTATTATATTTATAAGCCTAATTATTTCTATTCCAATTACGTATTTCATTATTATTTCGAAATCGCTATATTTCTAATGTATTACGACGATTTGGAACTAATGAACTTTGTACTTTGTAGCAACGAGTTCTATGAGTACACCAACGAGCTCTGTGGTCACATCAACGAGTTCTATGAGTACACCAACGAGCTCTGTGGTCACATCGACCAGTTCTATGACTACAAGTACGGCAATAACAACTACAAAAGGTATTTAAAAAAAGTTACCGATTAGATAATCCATGATCTTCCTCATTATGTGGTTAGCATACAAACAATACGTATTTAGTCTTAGATAGCTTAATAATTTGGGTTTCATTTTGATTTTGATTCAGATATTCATGACATGTAAGTTGCATATGTTTTTCTTGACAACTGACATCAAATTAATCAAAAAAGGTTAAATATTCATTTATCTGTCGCAGGTGAATGCACAGAGGAGATGAGAAAAACTGGAATTATTGATGAAAACCTTATAACATTTAGTAGCAACCTAGGTACTGGCAATGCGAAACTTGGCGGTGAAGCATGGAGTCCTACAGAAACTGACTTAAAACCTTCTGTTACTATCAGCTTCCCAAATAAAGCTAAAGTGACTTCAATCATGGTCCAAGGAGGTTTGAATGGATTTGTCGAACAATTTCATATTGGCATAAAGGAAACACCTGAAGAGTTCCAGTATATAAAGAATATCAATCATGAACAGATGGTAATACTGTTTTTGTTAGCTTCAAGAATTGAAAAAAAGATTTTTGTATTATTCTTTTATTATTTCCAGGTTTTAACTTGCGTAAAAATTGACGATTCGGTCAAGACTACTTCCATTTTCTTAAAAAAGAGAAAGAGAAATGTTGTCAATTGAACAATAGAATAAAGAAATTTTACCATTTAATCTTTAAAACTATAAAGATAAAACAAAATACATATCAAATGTAAAAATGTCACTGTAATAAAAATATAATCTAAATAGCCCCTGTACCTTAATTTAATCAAATAACTGACCAAAATCTTTGAATTCATGGGTCATATTTTTCTAGAACGTTTTATTTTGATGTGAATAAAGCAGAAAAGGTAATGAACATATCTTTTTTCTATGCGTGCTCCATTCGTTTTGATACAATGTCTTGAAATCACTGTATATGTTTTGTTTTGTACAGGAAAGACTTAACAAATCTGTGCGTTTTAAAAACGGGGAAATTGAAATTGCTTTGATATACTTTTTTCATTTAATGATTTATATAAAGAATACCTATTGATATATTTATTCTATTGGCAAGTCCTACTGATAAACGCTTGGGAATTGATTTTATTAAAGTTAACAAAATATTTGGTATTAAAGTCAAATTTGGCATACTTATACTTTAGAAAGCTGTTGTATGAAAGCCATAGGTTATCTTTGAGTTTTTAAAAAAGTGAATGGATTTTAAAGAATGTGTAGTGATGCTTATTCTGATTACTTTTCAAGGTTTGGCTATACTTTGTCCTTATGGTTTTACATTTATCAGGTTTTCAACGTTTGTATTAAGTTTTGGATCATTGTACGTATATCCATGATTAAAGACATAAAAAAGGAAGATAATGATACTTTCGAATATATGAGATTCCTTACGATTGTTAATCAAGTCGTATTCTTTTAGACGTTTGTTGGCAACACAGATAATACTGGAATAGTAACTATTGAGATGCCTGCCGAAATAAAAACCACGAACATAATAAGTATTCAACTATTTCCCGTAATACCAAAAGACAAACCAGTTGAACTAAGATTTGAAGTAATCGGGTGTGCTGCTAGTAAGTTTATTGTATCATTTATATACATAATATAAAAATAAGGAGATATGAATGTAAGCAATTATAGGCAACCATACGGCCTTCAACAATAAGAAAAACCCATACGGTATAGTCGGCAATAAAAGGCCCTGACATGCATGAAAAATATGAAACAATTCAATTGCGGAAACTAACTAATTTATAACAAAACAATTTACGAAAAACAAATATGGCAGACAAGAAACAAAGACAACCACTGAATTTCAGGCCCCTGACTTCGGACAGGCACGTAAAGAATGTGGCGGGGTTAAAACTTGTTTAAAGGCGCCAACATTCCCCTAACATGGACAGCATACATGACAAGTAAAGTGTTTTGATACAATTTATCTTCCTCTATTTCGAAGTAGTTATTTTGAACTAAGATGGATTAAACAGTTACGCAATAATGCTTACACTTTTGTCAGATATATTTCAGGAAATTGATTAAGTGCAATTTGAGGTTACAAATACTCTATTTAAGATTGCAGTGCTATTGTTGTATTTGTTATTAGCTAAATAGTTGATTTATTTCGTCATAATCAAAAGATGTTCCAAAATATAAACATTTGCAATGTTAACGATGATCCTCATCGCATGAGATATTTCGCATCCCTTAATACTTCAGCAGCATTGTGTGAAAACTCGAAGAAGTACATAATTATATGTTATTATACTGCTGTTCTTTAATTACATGGACAAATCTTATAAAAATATTTGCAGGTATAACAACACCAATGGTAACTTCAGTAACAACACAACCAATAACGACAGGTAACGATACTTTCAATATTTGCTGTACATGGTTTTCTTATAATTTCAATTCACATAATACCACAGATTTATTTTGCTGCAAACGATTCTGCTTTTCATTTAACAATCTAGACGGTTATGCAGTAATAGTAATTGTACAGAACAATTATGAATATTTTTTTCGTTTGTTATTCAGAATGGATAGGAATCTTTTCAATAAAAAATATTTGAAATGAATAAAATTATTAAAAGCAAAAATTGTATATTCAATATCTTTCGACAAAACGACCTAAAAGTTGAAGTAGACATGATAATTATTAGTTTTAAGACATTTTTTTATTCTCGAAAGAGGTCAATCTTCAAACAAATCCCCAACAAAATTAATTATATGTTATAATCACTTTTTGACTTTGACTGTTAACGGAATAATTATTTTCTAAACCATTTAAAAATATTATTGAAACGAATGAAAATAAAATCAATCAATAAAGGCAACCGTAGTACACCGTTCAAAAGTCATAAATCGATTAAGAGAAATCATATCCGGGTTACAAACTAAAACCGAGGGAAACACATCAACTATAAGAGGAAAACAACGGAACAACAGAAACACTGAACTGCAACAAAAACAATAACCGTTCTTAGTTAGGCATGCATTTCATTTCCCGTAACATCTTTGTCATCTTGTTAAAATGTCGCCGGCAACAACATTCAGTTTTAGACAAAGAAAATATTCTTATAAAACTAAGGCCGAATTAGATAGCAAACTGATTTCTTGAAAAATTGCCAAATACTTCAATGTATTTCTGTACCATATACGAAAACACCAAGTAGAATACACGTGTTAAGAGCTTTGTATTAACAAACACCAAACACAGTAGACAAAATCAAACGTTATCAACAAACGTAACGAGTGGAAAAGATCTGTCATATTCCTGACTTGGTACCGGCATTTCCCAAGGAAATGGTTGGTTTAACCTGGTGTTATAGCTAGCTAAACCTCCCACTTGTATGACAGTTGTTAATAGTTCCGTTATATCGACAAAATTCTGGGAGCAACCCAAACAGACATAATAAGTTAATGTAACAATAATTTGGATCCAGCAGTCAAAACTGTGTAAACATACATCATAGACATACAACACATCTGACTAAACAATTCAGACAAACATACAAATAAATCTAACAAAAGCGCTAGTTAAAGTTAAGCTGAAGCTAATAGTAAATTGACAAAGACTTTGATGAATTATTTTTGTCGTTGATAGTACATATCGTATATAGTAAACACTTTCTCGATAAAGTACAAATTAAGCAGAATATAAATATAATGGTAAACAAAATGGAGACAGCACTATATACAATTGAAGGTCTAAATTATGCCCAAAGCCCTGAAGGAAAATAGCTGCCAAAATTATTTATACATATAAAACTTTTTATTTATGAAATGTATTATTGTAAAATGAATCATATTGAGTATCAATCAATTTGAACATATGGTGAATATGTAGGGCTTTCATCTATTTCATGACTTTTCTACAAAATACCAAATGTTTCTAGGACGTTATATCATTGAATTATTGGATTGTACCATAGTAAATATATCTGCTTTTTTGAAGTGGCATTCTATTCTAGACAAATACATCACATATACACACTAATATATGTGTGTGATGTGTTGTATTGCAAAAGTACTATTTCGAAAATGCATACATATCAAATTCTATAATATACTGAAGGTATTATTAATTGACATCACATCATTAAACAAAGCTAAACATAGCAATCGGTGAAGTCTAAGCGTGAAACGTTTTTTTTCATTCAAAAAAAAAATTAGCTGGAGCATTGTGAATTCTTGCTTTTTATGAGGTATATTAGGTACACCAGAAGACATTAATTGTTTTACTCCTAACTGGTCATATTGCCCAAAAGATCAAAGCATGTAATAAGACGACTCCAATCAAGATGTAAAGTGTCTTGAACTTTTCGTTAGTCACTAGTACAATAGCGGTCAGTACAACGTTGGTGTGATGGCGATGATCTCACAGTAATGATGAAACCGATTTTGAATGTATGTAGTCAATCTGTGAGAACAATACGCTTCTATCAAGTTTATCTGTTTAACATTACAAAAGTAGGAAAAACAAGGCATGAACACATCTGTATCAGAAGGTTGTAGGGTAAATTAAGCTTTTATTAATTCAGCAACATGACTGATTTCAGTTTCTTAACAATATTCAAAATCTTCAGAGTTTCTTGTATGAATAATTTAAAATAAGAGGTTTGTACTTCTATAACTTAACAACACATCGCTGTATTTTAAACAATTGATTAAATTACACAAGGAACCTAATAAATCTGTTTGAAATCTACATTCAGTTAATGTTTTACTTCTTCTTACTGATGCTCTTACAACCACCCGGGAATTCCTTATGATAATTACTGTACTATTTATTTGTCTATTACTACACTACCACACTATCGTTTATAAAAGAGAAAATTATCTCTTTGATAAGGAATTCTTCTTAATCTTGATATAACTACAAAAATATATTCAAAGTCATTTACCTTTTTCTTGATAATAGTTATATTCGTTAACCCTCAGACCAACTGCGTTCATTCATCATTTGGGTCAGGCATACCTTATGCAAATTTTATTTTTTATCGGCACCAAAAAGTTGGACATTTTTTGCAAGGGTTTTAGAACTTGTTCACCATTGTTCACAAGCTTTATGCGTATGGAACACTTACTTTTCTCTAGGTTATAAGCATATCTTGTCATTACTTTCTGACACAAGGTTAAAGAATGTACTAGTTAATATATTTCAGCAGAAAATTAGATATTTCAATTCAATTTAATATAATTTACGAACTAAACCCTCAAATCTAAATGCACAAAATTTAAAACTTAGGTACAACAGTTCCCACTATTACAACTCCACCACCACCTGCACCTCCAGTGACAACAATTACAACGAAGACAACAGGTACAACTCAACAGCCTACAACAACTGAAGTGACATCAAAACAAACACATACTCCAGGTACGACGCAGAAAACAACAACCAGCGTCGGAACATCACAAGCAACACCCACACCAAGTACCACAGAACCGCTTACAACACATGTTGGTACAACCCAGTCAACACCTACAACAGGTACGACTCCACAACCTTTCACTTCTGCAACGACGTCACAAACAACACCTACTCCAGGTACTACACCACAGCCAACAACAACTGTAGCTACAACACAACCATCATCTACGCCAGTTGTAACAGAACAGCCTTCAACTACAACATTAACAACACCAAAAACAGGCCAGACAGAGACTGCTACAACAACTGTTGGAACAATTCCAACAGGTAACTTTCTATCATTTTGTTCATATAACTGTTTGAACGTGAACCTCAAAACTAATTGACAGATGCAAAGAATTTAATCATTATAGAACGAAAATAAAAAGTTAAAACAATGTGTTTAGTTTTCTGAATGAGAACATTTTTAAAAAGGTTTTATAAAAAAAAACATTCATGAAACTGTCATTTCAAAGTCAGGTATTAATATGAATATGAAAGAAATCATTGAACATTAAGCAAAGGTAAAATAGCTCATTGTCCGTAAAAAGCTTGAAAATATTTTAATATCAGTTTTAAGTTGTTTATATTTTGCAATTCAAATTATTCATTTAGGTGAAACAACATTGAGCGTATCAACTACACCTCCACTGCCAACAACACCAAGTATCACACAACAGCCTACAACCACTGTCGGTACATCACAACCAACGACTACTACAGGTACCACACAACAATCTACAACAACTGTCAGTACATCACAACCAACGCCTACTACTGGAAGTACACAACAGCCTACAACCACTGTCGCTACATCACAACCAACACCTACTACAGGTACCACACAACAATCTACAACCACTGTCAGTACATCACAACCAACGCCTACTACTGGAAGTACACAACAGCCTACAACCACTGTCAGTACATCACAGGCAACACCTACTCAAGGTACTACACAACAGCCTACAACCACTGTCGGTACATCACAACCAACACCTACTCCAGGTACTACTCAGCAACCTACAACCACTGTCGGTACATCACAACCAACGACTACTCCAGGTACCACACAACAGCCTACAACCACTGTCGCTACATCACAACCAACACCTACTACAGGTACCACACAACAATCTACAACCACTGTCGGTACATCACAACCAACACCTACTCCAGGTACCACACAGCAACCTACAACCACTGTCAGTACATCACAGGCAACACCTACTCCAGGTACTACACAACAGCCTTCAACCACAGTCGGTACATTACAGCCAACACCTACTGAAGTAGCCACACAACAGCCAACAACTACTGCCGGTACATCACAACCAACACCTACTGAAGGTACCACACAACAGCCTCCAACAACTGTTGGTTCATCACAACCAACACCTTCTGAAAGTACCACAAAACAGTCAACAATCACTGTCGGTACATCACAACAAACAACTACTTCAGGTACTACACAACAACCTACAACCACTGTCGGTACGTCACAATCAACACCTACTGAAGGTACCACACAACAGACTACAACCACTGTCGGCATATCACAACCAACACCTACTGAAGTTACCACACAACAGCCAACAACTACTGCAGGTACATCACAACCAACACCTACTGAAGGTACCACACAACAGCCTCCAACCACTGTTGGTACATCACAGGCAACACCTACTCCAGGTACCACACAACAACCTACAACCACTGTCAGTACATCACAGGCAACACCTACTCCAGGTACTACACAACAGCGTACAACCACAGTCGGTACATCACAGCCAACACCTACTGAAGTTACCACACAACAGCCAACAACTACTGCCGGTACATCACAACCGACACCTACTGAAGGTACCACACAACAGCCTCCAACCACTGTTGGTACATCACAGGCAACACCTACTGAAGGTACTACACAGCAGCCAACAACCACTGTTGCCACATCAGAACCAACACCTACTCCAGGGACCACAAAACAGCCTACAACCACAGTCGGTACATCACAGCCAAAACCTACTGAAGTTACCACACAACAGCCAACAACTACTGCAGGTACATCACAACCAACACTTACTGAAGGTACCACACAACAGCCTCCAACCACTGTCGGCATATCACAACCAACACCTACTGAAGTTACCACACAACAGCCAACAACTACTGCAGGTACATCACAACCAACACCTACTGAAAGTACCACACAACAGCCTCCAACCACTGTTGGAACATCACAGGCAACACCTACTCCAGGTACCACACAACAACCTACAACCACTGTCAGTACATCACAGGCAACACCTACTCCAGGTACTACACAACAGCGTACAACCACAGTCGGTACATCACAGCCAACACCTACTGAAGTTACCACACAACAGCCAACAACTACTGCCGGTACATCACAACCGACACCTACTGAAGGTACCACACAACAGCCTCCAACCACTGTTGGTACATCACAGGCAACACCTACTGAAGGTACTACACAGCAGCCAACAACCACTGTTGCCACATCAGAACCAACACCTACTCCAGGGACCACAAAACAGCCTACAACCACAGTCGGTACATCACAGCCAACACCTACTGAAGTTACCACACAACAGCCAACAACTACTGCAGGTACATCACAACCAACACCTACTGAAGGTACCACACAACAGCCTCCAACCACTGTTGGTACATCACAGGCAACACCTACTGAAGGTACTACACAGCAGCCAACAACCACTGTTGCCACATCAGAATCAACACCTACTCCAGGGACCACAAAACAGCCTACAACCACAGTCGGTACATCACAGCCAACATCTACTGAAGTTACCACACAACAGCCAACAACTACTGCAGGTACATCACAATCAACACCTACTACAGGTACCACACAACAATCTACAACCACTTCAGGTACTACACAACAGCGTACAACCACTGTCGGTACATCACAACCAACACCTACTGAAGGTACAACACAACAGCCTACAACCACTGTCGGCATATCACAGCCAACAACTACTTCAGGTACCACACAACAGACTACAACCACTGTCGGCATATCACAGCCAACATCTACTGAAGTTACCACCCAACAGCCAACAACTACTGCCGGTACATCACAACCAACACCTACTGAAGGTACCACACAACAGCCTACAACCACTGTTGGTACATCACAGGCAACACCTACTGAAGGTACTACACAGCAGCCAACAACCACTGTTGGTACATCAGAACCAACACCTACTCCAGGGACCACAAAGCAGCCAACAACTACTGCCGGTACATCACAACAAACAACTACTCCAGGTACTACACAACAGCTTACAACCACGGTTGGTACATCACAACCAACACCTACTCCAGGTACCACACTACAGCCTTCAACCACTGTTGGTACATCACAACCAACAACTTTTGAAAGTACCACAAAACAATCATCAACCACTGTCGGTATATCACAACCAACAACTACTTCAGGTACCACACAACAGCCTACAACCACTGTCGGTACTTCACAACCAACACCTACTCCAGGTACTACACAACAGCCTACAACCACTGTCGGCATATCACAGCCAACAACAACTTCAGGTACCACACAACAGCCTACAACCACTGCCGGTACATCACAACCAACACCTACTGAAGGTACCACACAACAGCCAACAACCACTGTCGGCACATCACATCAAACATCTACTGAAGGTTCTACACAACAGAGTACAACCACTGTTGGTACATCACAGCCAACAACTACTCTAGGTACGACAAAGCAGCCTACAACCACTGTCGGAACATCTAAACCAACAACTACTGAAGGTACTACACAGCAGCAAACAACTATTGTCGGTACATCACAACCAACAACTACTCCAGGTACTACACAACAGCCTACAGCCACTGTTGGGACATCACAGCCAACACCTACATCAGGTACCACACAACAGCTTACAACCAGTGCCGGTACATCACAACCAACACCTACTGAAGGTACCACACAAGTGCTAACAACCACTGTCGGTACATCACAACAAACACCTACTGTGGGTACCACACAACTGCTAACAACCACTGTCGGTACATCACAACAAACACCTACTGAAGGTACCACACAACTGCTAACAACCACAGTCGGTACATCACAACCAACACCTACTGAAGGTACCACACAACTGCTAACAACCACCGTCGGTACATCACAACTAACTCCTACTGAAGGTACCACACAACAGCCTACAACCACCGTCGGTACATTACAACCAACACCTACGGAAGGCACCACACAACAACCAACACCTACTGAAGGTACCACACAACTGCTAACAACCACCGTCGGTACATCACAACTAACTCCTACTGAAGGTACCACACAACAGCCTTCAACCACTGTTGGTACATCACAACCAACACCTACTACAGGTACCACACAACAACCAACAACCACTGTCGGTACATCACAGCCAACACCTACTGAAGGTACTACACAACTGCCTACAACCACTGTTGGTACATCACAGCCAACAACCACTGTCGGTACAGCACAGCCAACACCTACTGAAGGTACCACACCATCTGCAGGTTCCACAAAACAGGCAACAACCACTGTCGGTATATCACAACCAACAACTTCTCCAGGTACTACTCAACAGCCTACAACCACTGTCGGTACATCACAACCATTACCTACTGAAAGTACCACAGAACAGCCTACAACCACTGTCGGTACATCACAACCAACAACTACTCCAGGTACTACACAACAGCCTACAACCACTGTCGGTACATCACAACCAACACCTACTCCAGGTACTACACAACAGCCTACAACCACTGTCGGTACATCACAACCAACACCTACTCCAGGTACTACTCAACAGCCTACAACCACTGTCGGTACATCACAACCAACACCTACTAAAGGTACCACAAAACAGCCAACAACCACTGTTGGTACAACACAACCAACAACTACTGAAGGTACTACACAACAGCCTACAACGACTGTTGGTACATCACTACCAACACCTACTCCCGGTACCACACAACAACCTACAACCTCTGTCGGAACATCACAACCAACACATACTGAAGGTACCACACAACAGCCAACATCCACTGTTAGTACCACACAACAGCCTACAACCACTGTCGGTACATCAAAAGCAACACCTACTGAAGGTACTACACTCCAGCCAACAACCAATGTCGGCACATCACAGCCAACACCTACGACAGGTACTACACAACAGCCTACAACCACTGTTGGAACATCACAGCCAACTCTTGGTCTAAGTACCACACAACAGCCTACCACAACAGCAGCATCACAGGCCACAACCACTGTCGGTACATCACAGCCAACACCTACGACAGGTACTACGAAACATCCTACAACCACTGTTGGTACATCACAACCAACACCTACTGGAGGTACCACACAACAGCCAACAACTCTCAGTACACCACAACCAACACCTACTGAAGGTACTACACAACAGCCTACAACTACTGTCGGTACAACACAACCAACGCCTACTCCAGGCACTACACAACAGCCTACAACCACTGTCGGTACAACACAGCCAACACCTGCTCCAGGTACCACACCACAGCCTACAACCTCTGCCGGAACATCAGAATCAACACCTACTCCGGTTACTACACCACAACCGATTACATCTCCAGCTACAACACAACCATTATCTACGCCTGTTGTAACAGAACAGTCTTCAAGTACAACATTAACAACTCCTCAAACAGGCCAGACAGAGACTGTAACAACAAGTGTTGGAACAAATCCAACAGGTATTTTTCTATAATTTTGTTTATATAACTGTTTGAACGTTAAAATCAAAATTAATTTATAGATGCAAAGAATTTAATCATAATAGAACGATTATAACAGGTATGAATATCAATATGAAACAGATCAATGAACAGTAAGCGAAGGTTAAATGTCTCATTCTTCATTGAATGCTTGAAAATATTTAGATATTTTTACCTTTTTATGTTTTACAATACAAATTCTTAATCTAGGTACAACAACATCGGGCGAACCCACTACACCGCCATTGCCACCAACAGGAAGTTCCACACAAAGGTCTACGACCATTTCAGTGACATCACAACCAACTACTACTCCAGGAACTACACAACAGTCTACAACAACTTCACTGACATCAACACCGACACCTACTACAGGAACAACACAACAGCCTCCAACAACTGTCGGAACCTCTAAAGTAACAACCACGTTAGGTACCACATCACAACCAACACCCACTCCAGGTACTACTCTACAGCCTACAACAACTGAAGGTACCACACAACAGCCAACAACAACTGTCGTTATTACACAGCAATCACCCACTCCAGTAACTACTCAAGAGCCTACAACCACTGTCGGTACATCACAAGTAACAACCACTCCAGGTACCACATCACAACCAACAACTACTCCAGGTACTACTCTGCAGCCTACAACCACTGTCGGTACATCACAACCAACACCTACTGAAGGTACCACACAACAGCCAACAACCACTGTCGTTATCATACAGTCAACACCCACTCCAGTTACTACTGAAGAGCCTACAACCACCGTCGGTACATTACAACCAACGCCTACTCCAGGTACTACACAACAACCTACAACCACTGTCGGTACATCACAGCCAACACCTACTCCAGGTACTACACAACAGTCTACAACCACTGTCGGCACATCACAGCAAACAACTACTACCGGTACTACACAACAACCTACAACAACTGCAGCATCACAGGCAACACCTACTCCAGGTACTACACAACAGCCTACAACCACTGTTGGTACATCACAGCAAACACCTACTCCAGGTACTACACAACAGCCTACAACCACTGTTGGTACATCACAGGCAACACCTACTCCAGGAACTACACAACAGACTACAACCACTGTTGGTACATCACAGCAAACATCTACTCCAGGTAACACACAACAGCCAACAACCACTGTCAGTACATCACAGGCAACACCTACTGCAGGTACTACACCACAACCTACAACATCTACCGCTACAACACAACCATCATCTACGCCTTTTGTAACAGAACAGCTTTCAACAACATTAACAACACCTCAAACAGGCCAGACAGAGACTGCTACAACAACTGTTGGAACAATTCCAACAGGTAATTTTTCTATCATTTTGTTCATATAACTGTTTGAACTTGAACCTATAAACTAATTTACAGATGCAAAGAAATTAATCATAATAGGACGAATATAACAGTTATTAATATGAATATGAAACAGATCATTGAACATTAAGTGAAGGTTAAATGTATCATTCTCCATTGAATCATTGAAAATGTTTAGATAGTTTTACCTTTTTATGTTTTACAATACAAATTCTGAATCTAGGTACAACAACATCGGGCGAACTCACTACACCGCCACTGCCACCAACAGTAAGTACCACACAAAGGTCTACGACCACTTCAGTGACATCACAACCAACAACTTCTGCAGGAACTACACAGCAGTCTACAACAACTTCACTGACATCAACACCGATACCTACTACAGGTACAACGCAACAGCCTACAACCACTGTCGGAACCTCACAAGTAACAACCACTCCAGGTACCACATCACAACCAACGACTTCTCTAGGTACTACTCAACAGCCTACAACCACTGTTGGTACAACAGAACCAACACCTACTGAAAGTACCACACAACAGCCTACAACCACTGTTGGTACAACACAGCCAACACCTACCCCAGGTACCACACAACAGCCTACAACCACTGTCGGTACTACGCAGCCAACACCAACTCCAGTAACTACTCAACAGCCTACAACCACTGTTGGTACAACAGAGTCAACACCTACTGAAAGTACCACACAACAGCCTACAACCACTGTTGGTAAAACACAGCCAACACCTACACCAGGTACCACACAACAGCCTACAACCACTGTCGGTACTACGCAGCCAACACCAACTCCAGTAACTACTCAAGAGCCTACAACCACTGTCGGTATATCACAACCAACACCTACTCCAGGTACTACACAACAGCCTACAACCACTGTCGGAAACTCCCAACTAACAACCACTCCAAGTACCACATCACAACCAACGACTTCTCTAGGAACTACTCAACAGCCTACAACCACTGTTGGTACAACAGAACCAACACCTACTGAAAGTACCACACAACAGCCTACAACCACTGTCGGTACAACACAGCCAACACCTACCCAAGGTACCACACAACAGCCTACAACCACTGTCGGTACATCACAGCCAACACCTTCTCCAGGTACCACACAACAGCCCTCAACCACTGTTGGTACATCACAGCTAACAACTACTCTAGGTACCACACTTCAGGCAACAACGACTGTCGGTACTACGCAGCCAACACCAACTCCAGTTACTACTCAAGAGCTTACAACCACTGTCGGTACATCACAGTCAACACTTACTGAAGGTACTACACAACAGCCTACAACCACTGTCGGTATATCACAGCCAACACCTACTACAGGTACTACACTGCCGTTTACAACCACTACAGTGACATCACAACCGACACCTACAACAGGTACTACATTACAACCTACAACCACTGTCGGCACATCACACCCAACACCAACTCCAGGTACTACTCAACAACCTACAACCACTGTTGGTACATCTCAACCAACACCAACTCCAGGTATCACATCACAACCAACAACCACTGCAGGTACAACTCAACACCATACAACCACAGTCGGTACATCACAGCCAACACATACTAAAAGTACTACACAAAAGTCATCAACAACTGCAGCATCACTACCTACATCTACTCCAGGTACTACACAACAGCCAACAACATCCACAGTATCACACATTACATCTTTGACAGGTACCTCACTGCAACTCCTCAAACCAAGACTTAATACAGGGAAAAATTGGCAAACAAGTACCTACCCAGTAAACAACTACGTATAATAACTTATTCAGTAACATCACAAATAACATGTTTATTTTTCACCGTTTTCCCTTATATTAACTGTAGGAACATATAAGAGTTCTGTTAAAAGTTCATATTTGTTTCGTCGACTAAAAAGATGGTCAAAGGGGGAGGGAGGAGGTTGTGTTATTTAGAATAATTGCTTCTGGCAATTAAAAATAATACGTCAATAACTGCCACTATCAAAGTTGTGTATGCTTCCGAAAAAAAATAATGATTATACTTTACAAGTAAGCTAAGTAAAATGTAAAACAGCATACAGCTCTATGATGATTATTTGTACTAAAAACTGTTTTTCTATACTTCTTGAGAGTATAAGCTAAAGTGGTGAAAGCAAGTGTTGCTCAGTCAAATTTTTCTCGCTGTATGAAGATTAAAAAATTAATATGCCGACTTATGAAACATCTGCAATAATTGTTAGTTTGATGTTAAAATATTTCTATTTGGTCTCATTAGCTTATACTAACAATGTCCACTGTAGCTAATACTAACAATGACCACTGTCCTTTCCTCGATCTTGATATCTATATCATTAACGGGAAGCTTAATACAAAAATTTATGATAAAAGAGATGATTTTTCATTTCCTATCGTTAATTATTCATTTTTAGATGGTGATGTTCCCTTGTCACCATCTTATGGTGTTTATATATCTCAACTTGTACGATTCGCTCGTGTATGTTACAACGTTTTAGATTTTAGCGAGAAAAATTTTTTTTGTAAATAATTGTTTGTTTTGATATTGTAACACAGTGATGACTGCTGTACCCATATTTTGACTATTTTATTTATAATGTCTGTTTTGTTCACGCATCGTTGTAAATATAACGGAATTTGATAAGACTGTCGTACAAGTGAGAGGTTTAGCGCTATAAAACCAGGTTCAATCCACCATTTTCTACATTTGAAAATGCCTGTACCAAGTCAGGAATATGACAGTTGTTGTCCATTCGTTTGATGTGTTTTGTCATTTGATTTTGCCATGTGATTAGGGACTTTCCGATTGAATTTTCCTCGGAGTTCAGTATTTTTGTGATTTTACTTTTTATATATTATTGAAAAATTATTACACCAGGGTTTTCGATATCATAAACTAGTCAAAACATTTACTAAATTTTATCATCGGTATAAGGACATCATTCGTAAATATAACTCAACATGCAGACATCTTATACGTTCGGGTATTTCACATCCAATCTTTTATGGTAATATTCTTTACAAAGCACAAAAATGTCAGTATTCACCTCAAAAGCTAACAAAACCTTTAAACAGACTTATTAAGAAGGGATATAGTTACGATACTGTTGTCAGGTCATTAAAAATTGCATATTGTGGCTTTAATATTGATTCACTTATAGGGTCTTTGCATCGGAATTAAACATATTTATTCTAAAACCAGTTGTTGGCATGACACGGGTTATGTTCTTCTCATATATTTTATGACGTTATATTACTAAACCCCTAACAGGAGGGATTGTGCCTGATATTCATATGATGAAGACATAATCTTTCAATCAGTTTAATTGGGGTCTGGAGCTGGCATGTCAGTAACTGCTAGTAGTCTGTTGTTATTTATGTATTATTGTCATTTTGTTTATTTTCTTTTGTTTCCTATTCTGACATCGGACTCGGACTTCTCTTTAACTCAGTTTTACTGTGCGTACTGTTGTACGTTTGTTTTTTCTACATTGGCTAGAGGTATAGGGGGAGGGTTGAGATCTCAAAAAACATGTTTAACCCCGCCGCATTTTTGCGCCTGTCCCAAGTCAGGAGCCTCTGGCCTTTGCTATTCTTCTATCATTTTTAATTTTAGTTTCTTGTGTTTAATTTGGAGTTAAGTATGACGTCCATTATCACTGAACTAGTATACATATTTGTTTAGGGGACAGCTGAAGGACGCCTCCGGGTGCGGGAGTTTCTCGCTGCATTGAAGACCCATTGGTGGCCTTCGGCTGTTGTCTGCTCTATGGTCGGGTTGTTGTCTCTTTGACACATTCCCCATTTCCATTCTCAATTTTATCATTTATGCAAATTTGATTGTCATCAATATTGATACAAAAGTTTGGACTAGAAAGTGCCATGTATTCTATAAAACACGTGCTCAACAAAATTGGTGTCATATATATATATATATATATATTACAATTACTTCGAAGCTGATACAACTACAGATTGATGCGATCTATATTAGTATAGTATTTTGTTATACTTGATTTATATCAAATATTTTAGTCATTATAAATTATTTAAAAAAAACTTGTTTAAAACTACTTCAACAATAATTTCAATTGTTTGCATAACTTATCCTAGATGTTCAGAGTTTCAGATGAATAAACAAATAACATTTTATTTAAGCACATACTACAGCGTCAGCTCCTACCACAGAAAAACCAAATATATGCACAGATGTTGAAGGTATGGCAAATCCATCTCTCACACCAGACATTAAGGTAAACGAACAACCAGATGTTGAAGATATCCGTCCTGGAGGGAAGATGTTATTAATAAACGAAAGCCAAGCAAATATCGAAATAAATCTTGGAAAATCAACTCAGCTTGGATCTGTCAAATTTGTAAAAGCTGACGAAAGTAATATTAAAACATTCACTGTTCTACTGGTAAAGAATGATGGTGAAACTCCAGAGCCTTATTTAGGTGGGAAGGTAAAATGTTCTTATTCAATGTCATTAATGTGTAAATATTGTTCTCTCATATAATTCTTCTCGATATTTTGCTATTTTTTTTTCTGCCCTAAAAACAATATTGTAAGCAAACTTGAAGTTTTTCATCAATATTCACTTTTTTGGTTAAGAAAAAAAAAATTATTATCAAAGTTTGGATATGTTGAATGATTCCAAACTCATTTATAAAGCGTGGAGGGACATTTTGCTACAGCGTAGCAATCTCGTTAGAACCGAGATTTACAAAACATTACAGGAAATGTTTCCCTTTCAGAAACTTATAATATCAAACCTATTTTAATACTCAATTGTATAATAGAATATATTAACATTAACATAAATACACAGACAAAACATTTGTAGTTCCATGATAGCAATCAGTATCAAACGGTTTTTATGTGTAGTTATCCCTCATGTCACTATCGAGGTTCATTATATAATTTATATATTATTGTTTGATTTTTAAGGTATATCAGGGAGATGAACTAGTAACATTTGAAATGGATACGTTTGCAGTCAAAGTTATTGTTAGTGTTACGGATAAAGTAGATAGTAATCTGGACTACTCATTGGAAGTGGAATTGCGGGCTTGTTTCATGACAGGTAAAACTTTAATTTAAAACTCATCAAAGATGCCAGGCATATAATTATGTACGCTAGACACCCGTTTCGTCTACACAAGATTCATCCGAAACATTTGAAAAAGACAATTGATCTACTCTACTTCACATAGTTGATAATTTAGCTCCTAGCGGACACAATATTTTAATGATAAACCATAAAGTATTGTTTTGATTTTTATCTTATTTTGACATCGCTTTTATTAATTTCTAAAAGAATTATAAATCTATACCAAGACCTAGTTGATAAATATTCCGTAGCAACTTCACAAATAATACATGATGGTCTTGAAGTATAGATTCTAGGTGCTGGGGTGTTTGTCATCTTTATTACGTGTTATAGTGTTCTTTTATTTGTCTTTGTAAATTATTAACCTTTACTGTTTGGTCCATTTTTGGTAATATCCTTTTGGCGTGGCTCGGTACTTATGCATCCCGTCATTGTGTTATTGTGCTATGACCATTTTTTGTATTCCTGCCTTTCATTTTTGCTTATGTGTTTTGTCTATACGCCATTTTGGTTTTCTTTGTTAAAGTATTTGTTTGTTTTTTTATAGTGATTAAGATTATAACACAATATTGACTGCTGTACCCCTATTTTTGACAGGTTTACCTTTTATGTCTGTTTGTTTTGTTCACACATTGTTGTCAGTATAATGGAATTTTATGCGACTATCATACAAGTGAGAGGTTTAGCTAGCTATGCAACCAGGTTTAATCAACCATTTTCTACATAAGGAAATGCCTGTACCAAGTCAGGAATATGACAGTGGTTTTCCATTCGTTTGAGCTTTTGATTTTGCCATTTGATAAGGGACTTTCCGTATTGAATTTTCCTTGGAGTTCGGTATTTTTGTTATTTTACTTATTTTCACGGTCAGTGTTTGTTACTTGAATGTCTTCATTTGTTCAAGAAACAGATTTGATATGGTGTCAGTGATATTAATTAACATAATTGGCTGAAACACAAAACTATTTTGAAAAGTAATAATAATGTGTGCCTGATTTTCGGTGTCTTATTATTCATATAATGCAACCATGTTTCTCTTCACCATTTTCATTTTCCCTTCTTAGGTCTGGAATCTTACTTTTAATTTGCTGTCCAATTATTGATATCAATTTACGACTTTGTATTAGGGTCAGATCCTCATGGCGTGTTATAGCATGTCACATGTAATTGTGATGATTGTCCGCCGTTAAAAGAAGTGTTGCTCCCTTTTTATACGCCCGTTTACGGGACGTATTATTGTATACCGTTGACCGTCCGTTCGTCCCTCTGTCCGTCCGTAGTCAACATGTCGGACAATATCTCAAAAACGCTTTTACTAATTTGCATGAAACTTTGGTGAATTGTTTATATCTATTGACGTTAGCTCCCTTTTAGTTTTTTGTAAATTTTAGATTTTAAGTTTCCGAGTTATAGGGTTTTATTCATTAAAAAAGAAGGATTTTCCAGTTTTCGGACAAAAACTCAAAAACAATTTCACAAATTTGCAAGCAACTTTGTTGAATTGTTTATATCTATTGACATTAGTTCCCTTTCGATTTTTATAAATTTATTTTAGATTATACATTTCCGAGGTTATGGGGTTTTATTTATTAAAAAAGGGTTGATTTTCCAGTTTTCGGACAATAACTCAAAAATGCTTTCAGCAGTTTTCATGAAATTTTGGTGAATTGTTTATATCTATTGACGTAAGCTCCCTTTCGATTATTATAAATTTAAAGTCTTACGTTTCCAAGTTATGGGATTTTATTTATAAAAAAGGGGAGTGCTTTGAGGAGTTCTCATGAAACTTTGGTGACTGGTTTATATCTATTTAGATAACCTCCCTTTAGTTTTTCATAAATTTCGGATATGACATTGAGAAGTTATTGAACTTTATTCTTTAAAAAAAGCCACGGGCGTATCATGCGCTCATGGCGTAGCTGTTTATTTCTTTATTGCATATATGAATATACATATAACACAAGTTTCAATACGTTTCGGCCATTACGGCCTTCTTCATTGGAATTGCAACGAAGTAGGCCGTAATGGCCGACACGTATGGAAACTTGTGTTATAGTTTTTATTATACAATCAATCAGAGCTTTTATATATATATAAATATATATTCATATATAAAATGACCGAATAATAGCCAACGATAAATCTTACGGGGCGATGGATCATAAAATTATGATACAGTACACTACAAAATATAACATATAACAAGTCTAAAAGGATACAACATCACCAAAAATAATTAAATCATGAACAAATTTTAGATATTTCGGATAACTAATATCCTTTATCAGTAAGATGTAAAATGAATCTTATCTTGACATGTGGTAGTCAATCTGAATTAAAAATCTTGAATGCTATACAAATTATCAATATATATATATTGTTGGGTAATGGTACACCCATTAGCAACGCTAGTTCCTACAGGTGGAAAATTTTTCTCCCTCATAAAAATACTAACAGGACCTTGTTTGTGAGCAATTACAAATCAACTTTTTTTTCATTTGATATAAAACAAAAAGTATATATATTTACATCAGGTACAACACTACATTCCACGACCGGATCACAGACGACACCATCTACGACCGAAACTACACCAGTTATGACTACTAGTGGTGTCACAAAAACAGGTAAGACTTCTATCGGAAGATGAATGGAAAATATAAATAGATGACACTAGACTGGTTATATCCTTTATTTGTACTTTACTTAATGCAATGCTTAAACTTGTTCTGTCACTGATGAAAATAATAACAAAGATCCCAGGCATATAATTATGTACGCTGGACACCCGTTTCGTCTACACAAGATTCATGCGAAATATTTGAAAATTACAATTGATCTACTCTACTTCACATAGTTGATAATTTAGCTCCTACTCCTAGCGGACACACTATTTTAAATAAACCATAAAGTCTTGTTTTGGTTTTTATGTAATTTTGAGATCGCTTTTATTAGGTTCTAAAATAATTATTTCCATCTATACCAATACCTAGTTGATAAATATTCCGTAGTAACTTCACAAATAATACATGATGGTCTTGAAGTATAGATCATAGGTACTGACGTTGTTTATAATCTTTATTACGTGATATTGTGTTCTTTTATTTGTCTTTGTAAATTATTAACCTTTACTGTTAAGTCCGTTTTTGGTAATATCCTTTTGGCGTGGCTCGGTACTTATACATCCCGCCATTGTGTTATTTTGCTATGGTCATTTTTTGTATTCCTGTCTTTCATTTTTGCTTATGTGTTGTCTATATGCCATTTTGGTTTTCTTTGTTAAAGTATTTGTTTGTTTTTATAGTGATTAAGATTATAACACAATGTTGACTGCTGTACCCCTATTTTTGACATTTTTACATTTAATGTCTGTTTGTTTTGTTCACAATTTGTTGTCAGTATAATGGAATTTTATGTGACTGTCATACAAGTGAGAGGTTTAGCTAGCTATGCAACCAGGTTTAATCAACCATTTTCTACATAAGGAATTGCCTGTACCAAGTAAGGAATATGACAGTGGTTTTCCATTCGTTTGATGTGTTTGAGCTTTTGATTTTGCCATTTGATAAGGACTTTCCGTATTGAATTATCCTTGGAGTTCGGTATGTTTGTTTTTTTACTTTTTTTTCACCGTCAGGGTTTGTTACTTAAATGTCTTCATTTGTTCAAGAAACAGATTTGATATGGTGTCACTTGTCATCTTTCAGTGATATTAATTAACATAATTGGCTGAAACACAAAACTATTTTGATTAATATTAATTGGTGCCTGATTTTCGGCGTCTTATTATTCATATAATGCAACCATGTTTCTTTTCAACATTTTCATTTTCCCTTCTCAGGTCTGGAATCTTACTTTTAATTTGCTGTCCAATTATTGATGTCAATTTACGACTTTGTATTAGGGTCAGAGCCTCATGGCGTGTTACAGCATGTCACATGTATCTGTGATGATTATCCGCCGTTAAAAGAAGTGTTGCTCCCTTATTTCTTTATATGCATACATCAATATATATACATTAATGCAGTTCACTTAATTCTTTAACGAATATTTGATAGTTTAAGTTTTTAATTCCACAAAAATTCTACTCATTTAAGGAAAAGACATTGTACTCTGGTAATCAACGTCACTAACGAATATGTACACCGTAAAACTGTTTTTTACAATTACTGTACACAAATGAACATGTTGGAATCAAATTCCAAGTCTAAATGGTTTAAAATAAGTGAACTGTTTTGACAATGTTAATGTTAATTAATAATTTCTTATAATTTCAGTTACCAGTACACCATCAACAACTTCAGGTTAGTTTTGTTTTTGCTAGTTTTAGTAGTTTAATATTTAGTATCTCATTGAAGAAATAAAAACCATATCTATGTGCTAGACAGAGTAGTAAGAATTAAAAATAAAAAATCATACTGGTAGAATAGTTACGACTTAAATAAAAAAAACAAGTACATTTATATATTTATAAGTGCCTATATATATGTATTATATATATAAATAAATAAATAAAATTCTTTATTTAACGAAGGTAACACATTTAACAATGACATGTTAATCTTCCATGAGGCCTTCAAAAACTATTAATACAAATAGAAAAGACAAAAATACAAATAAAATAAAATACATAATACAGTTATATATAGCAGCTCAAATATTGAATAAATACATATGCATTCAATAGAAGAAGAAAAAATACATTAGAATCGGGCATCTTCATTCTGTACAGTTGGAAAATATATACGTCTAAATATATGACAACTATGCGACAGACGTTCTCTTTCGGATAACCTGTGGTTATATAGGGCTACAACCATAACTTATGTATACTTCGTCTCAGCCCAACAAAGTTATATCTGCACATTTGTGTCCAAAACCCTAGACAACTCAGCAACTATGCTACAATGTATATAAATATACTGATTAATGGTTTCAAAGACGTTTGAGTTTTATGCTATTTCCTATGGTTATTTACAACTATAAGTATGATCTGAAAGGGGTGTTATGAAACAACTGTCAGTTTTCTTATACTATAATCACAATGTTGATGTTAGAAATAACCGCATCATAACTGAGTTGTCTTACAAGTATATGTATTTTTATGACAATTAGAAACCACCGCGGGAACTACTGCCACCACTTCTCCCACCACCTCTGTAACCACTCCACCTCCACCTGCTCCACCAGTCAGTACATCACCTATCCCAGTAACTACACACCCAGTTACTACAGGTACGTCTCAGTCAGGTACCACTCAACAGTACACAACAGCAACAGCATCACAGCCAACACCAACTACAGGTACTACACAACAGTCTACAACCACTGTCGGAACATCACAACAAACACCTACTCCAGGTACTACACAACAGTCTACAACCACTGTCGGAACATCACAACCAACACCTACTACAGGTACCACACAACAGCCTACTACCACTGTTGGTACATCACAGCAAACACCTACTCCAGGTACCACACAAAAGCCTACAACCACTGTCGGTACATCACAGCCAACACCTACGACAGGTACCACACAGCAGCCTACAACCACTGTCAGTATATCACAACCGACACCTACTTCTGGTACCACACAACAGACTACAACCACTGCAACATCACAGCAAACAACTTCTCCAGGCACAACACACCAGCCTACAACCACTGTTGGTACATCACAGGTAACACCTACTCCAGGTACCACACAACAGCCCACAAGTACTGCAGCATCACAGCAAACAACTACTCTAGGCTCCACACAACAGCCTACAACCACTGTCGGTACATCACAGCCAACTTCTACGACTGGTACCACACAACAGCCTACAACCACTGGAGCATCACAGCAAACCACGACTACTGGAACCACAACTTCAGGAACAGGTCAGACAAAAGTTCAGACTACAACCGTTGGCACAATGTCAACTGGTAATTATTCTAAACTTACCATTTTCATTTTAAATGTGTCATATAATTGTTTTGACAGAACAATCAATACTTATCAATACCGATCAATCAAATCAAAAGTATCATAATAAAACGTGTATGAAGATGTCAAATTAAAGCATTTCGTATTTCAGTTTTCTCAATGAACAACTTGAAATCTTACTTAAAAAGGTGTTATAAGTTGTCTTCATCGATATGATGAAATACATTTATAAAAATATCATTGAAAATTCACATATTAATATAAATATGAAACAGATAATTGAACAACAAGCAAAACATAAATGTCTCATAGTCTATTAAATGCTATGAGATATTTAGATATTGTTTTTATTATTATTAATTGCAATACAAATTCAAATCAAGGTGGAACAACATCGAGCGTACCCACAACACCGCAACTGCCACCAACACCAAGTGTCACTGAACAGTCTACGACCATTTCAGTGACATCACAACCAACTACTACTCCAGGTATTACACAGCAGTCTACAACAACAGCATCATCACAACCTACACCTACGACGGGTACTACACAACAGCTTACAACCACTGTCGGTACATCACAGGCAACACCTACTCCAGGTACTACACAACAGCCTTCAACCACTGTTGGTACATCACAGCAAACACCTACGACAGGTACCACACAGCAACCTACAACCACTGTCGGTACATCACAACCAACACCTACTACTGGTACCCCACAACAGTCTACAACCACTGCAACATCGCAACAAACAACTACTACAGGTACTACACAACAGTCCACAACCACTGTCGGTACATCACAGCAAACAACTACTACAGGTACTACACAGGTAACACCTACTCCAGGTACCACACAACAGCCTACAACTACTGCAGCATCACAGCAAACAACTACTCCAGGCACCACACAACAGCCTACAACCGCTATCGGTACATCACAGCCAACACCTACGACAGGTACTACACAACAGCCTACAACCACTGGAACATCACAGCAAACAACTACTCCAGGCACCACACAACAGCCTACAACCGCTGTCGGTACATCACAGCCAACACCTACTCCAGGTACTACACAACAGCCTACAACCACTGTCGGTACATCACAGCAAACACCTACGACAGGAACCACACAACAGCCTACAACCACTGTTGGTACATCACAGCAAACACCTACGACAGGTACCACACATCAGCCTACAACCACTATCGGTACATCACAGGCAACACCCACTACTGGTACCACACAACACTCTACAACCACTGGAACATCACAGCAAAGAACTACTACTGGGACCACAACTTCAGCAACAGGCCAGACAAATGTTCAGACAACAACCGTTGGCACAATTTCAACTGGTAATTATTCTAAACTTATCATTTTCCTTTTAAATGTGTCATATAATTGTTTTAACAGAACAATCAATACTTATCAATACCGATCAATCAAACCAAAAGTATCATAATAAAACATGTATGAAGATGTCAAATTAAAGCATTTCGTATTTCAGTTTTCTCAATGAACAACTTGAAATCTTACTTAAAAAGGTGTTGTAAGTTGTCGTCATCAATATGATGAAATACATTAATAAAAATATCATTGAAAATTAACATATTAATATTAATATGAAAGAGACAATTGAACAACAAGCAAAACTTAAATGTCTCATGGTCAATAAAATGCTATGAGATATTTAGATATTGTTTTTATTATTATTAATTGCAATAAAAATTCAAATCAAGGTGGAACAACATCGATCGTACCCACAACACCGCAACTGCCACCAACACCAAGTGTCACTGAACAGTCTACGACCATTTCAGTGACATCACAACCAACTACTACTCCAGGTATTACACAGCAGTCTACAACAACAGCATCATCACAACCTACACCTACGACGGGTACTACACAACAGCTTACAACCACTGTCGGTACATCACAGGCAACACCTACTCCAGGTACTACACAACAGCCTACAACCACTGTTGGTACATCACAGCAAACACCTACGACAGGTACCACACAGCAACCTACAACCACTGTCGGTACATCACAACCAACACCTACTACTGGTACTCCACAACAGTCTACATCCACTGCAACATCGCAACAAACAACTACTACAGGTACTACACAACAGTCCACAACCACTGTCGGTACATCACAGCAAACAACAACTACAGGTACTACACAGGTAACACCTACTCCAGGTACCACACAACAGCCTACAACTACTGAAGCATCACAGCAAACAACTACTCCAGGCACCACACAACAGCCTACAACCGCTATCGGTACATCACAGCAAACACCTACGACAGGTACTACACAACAGCCTACAACCACTGGAACATCACAGCAAACAACTACTCCAGGCACCACACAACAGCCTACAACCGCTGTCGGTACATCACAGCCAACACCTACGACAGGTACTACACAACAGCCTACAACCACTGTCGGTACATCGCAGCAAACACCTACGACAGGAACCACACAACAGCCTACAACCACTGTTGGTACATCACAGGCAACACCCACTCCTGGTACCACACAACAACCTTCAACCACTGGAACATCACAGCAAAGAACTACTACTGGAACCACAACTTCAGCAACAGGCCAGACAAAAGTTCAGACTACAACCGTTGGCACAATGTCAACTGGTAATTATTCTAAACTTACCATTTTCCTTTTAAATATGTCATATAATTGTTTTAACAAAACAATCAATACTTATCAATACCGATCAATCAAACCAAAAGTATCATAATAAAACATGTATGAAGATACCAAATTAAAGCATTTCGTATTTCAGTTTTCTCAATGAACAACTTGAAATCTTACATAAAAAGGTGTAATAAGTTGTCTTCATCGATAGTATGAAATACATTAATAAAAATATCATTGAAAATTAACATATTAATATAAATATGAAACAGATAATTGAACAACAAGCAAAACTTAAATGTCTCATAGTTAATTAAATGATATGAGATATTTAGATATTGTTTTTATTATTATTAATTGCAATACAAATTCAAATCAAGGTGGAACAACATCGAGCGTACCCACAACACCGCAACTGCCACCAACACCAAGTGTCACTGAACAGTCTACGACCATTTCAGTGACATCACAACCAACTACTACTCCAGGTACTACACAGCAGTCTACAACAACAGCATCATCACAACCAACACCTACGACGGGTACTACACAACAGCTTACAACCACTGTCAGTACATTACAGGCAACACCTACTCCAGGTACTACACAACAGCCTACAACCACTGTTGGTACATCACAGCAAACACCTACGACAGGTACCACACAACAACCTACAACCACTGTCGGTACATCACAACCAACACCTACTACTGGTACTCCACAACAGTCTACAACCACTGTTGGTACATCACAGCAAACACCTACGACAGGTTATACACAGCAACCTACAACCACTACCGGTACATCACAGGCAACACCTACCCCAGGTTCCACACAACAGCCTACAACCACTACAACAACTACTACAGGTACAACACAACAGTCTACAACCACTGTAGCATCACAGCAAACAACTACGACAGGTACCACACAACAGCATACGACCACCGTCGGTACATCGCAGCAAACAACTACTGCAGTTACTACACAGGAGCCTACAACCACAGTTGGTACATCACAGGCAACTCCTACTCCAGGTACTACACAACAGCCTACAACCAGTGTTGGTACATCACAGCAAACACCTACGACAGGTAACACACAGAAACCTACAACCACTGTCAGTACATCACAACCAACACCTACTACTGGTACCACACAACAGCCTTCAACCACTGTTGGTACATCACAGCAAACACCTACCACAGGTTCTACACAGCAGTCTACAACCACTATCGGTACATCACAGGCAACACCTACTCCAGGTTCCACAGAGAAGCCTACAACCACTGCAGCATCACAGCCAACACCTACTCCAGGTACTACACAACAGCCTACAACCACTGTCGGTACATCACAACCAACACCTACTCCAGGTACTACACAACAGCCTACAACCACTGTCGGTACATCACGACCAACACCTACTACGGGTACAACACAACAACCTACAACCACTGTCGGTACATCACAGCAAACACTTACGACAGGTACCACACAGCAACCAACAACCACTGTCGGTACATCAAAACCAACACCTACTACTGGTACCACACAACAGCCTACAACCACTGTTGGTACATCACAGTCAAAACCTACTCCAGGAACTACACAAAAGCCTACAACCACTGCAACACCACAGCAAACAACTACCGGTACTACACAACAGTCTACAACCACTGTCGGTACATCACAACCAACAACTACTGCGGGTTCAACACAGCAGCCTACAACCACTGTTGGTACATCACAACTGACAACTACTACAGGTACTACACCACAGCGTACAACCACTGTAGGTACATCACAGACAACAGCTACTCCAGGTACCACACAACAGCCTACAACCACTGCAGCATCACAGCCAACACCTACTCCAGGTACTACACCACAACCTACAACCACTGCAGGATCACAGCCAACACCTACTGCGGGTACAACACAACAGCCTTCAACAACTGTAATATCATCATCAACGCCAACATCTACTACAGGTAACAACACATTATTTGATATGAAGCCAAGTACCAAACGTGTTTGGTCTATTTTTTCAATCTTTTCTGATAATCATTTCAGATAAGCTGATAAAAATGAAAAACAGCAATTATTAAGTTTTATTCTAGCTTTTTTTTTATAAGAAATATATTTTCTTTTTGGGCCCCCGAAGGGTGGCTGGGAAATACAAATATGGTCACTACATGTCTTCTTCCGACCGGCAGTAAAACCCTTGCCAAAGTGGGGCGTCCGTTTGGCTGTGCGGGATGTACAAGAACGCAGCCACGACCGGTCAAAATGGTGACGTTAAATCCGAGGCCTTGTGTATAGAGTTTCGCCACGCTCTCTGTACGTTAAGAATCCTTGCAACAACTCTGAGGGGTCCGTAGGTAGCCTGTCCTAATCCAATGTACCCTTGTTTTTCAATGGCAGTCCAAATATCCCCGACCTTCATCCCCGATGGCCTCTATTACAGGACCTACCTATTGTATTTATTGTTGATTTGTTCTGGTCCTGAACATGCATTAAATATTTGCCTCTTGACGTTAAGCAATCAACAATCAATCTTCTTTTTCAGAAACAGTACAAAGTACTATCACAACACCCCAAGGTTAGTTATTTTCAGTAGTTTTATAAAATATATATTTGTAACGATTTTATAATTTTGATTGCTGATAAAAGACGAAACGTGGAAGCAGACAGTTTCAAATATTACAAATGTAATCCGGGTTTCAACATGTTTACAAACCAACCCTCGCCAAAAAAAACCTCTATAAATGAAAAGAAAAATTACCTAACTATTGCTATCAGTGTTTTAAGTGCTAGCAGAAAAAAAAATTATAACTTCATATCATTAAAAACTTGAGAAGACTTCGTAAGTTTACTTTATCAGTATGCAGTACCCTAAAGATCAATAAGTCACCAAAGAACTATTATCCTTACAATTATAACTAATAAATATTCATCACTTGTTTTTGTCTGCACCACGGTTACTTAACTTTTGTCTGATTGATAGTCTCTTAAATCAGATTATTTTTTTCTATATTCAGTCTAATGAGAGATGAACATATATTAAGATGCTTTAAGATTGTTGAAGACTGTATGTATTCTTTCGTGGTTTTGATGTTTATTGGTTGCTGTCTCATGTTGGTATATCACATATCCTCTCATATTTATGATTATAAGACCGAATTTGTTTGTTTGATTTCTAGTACTGAAAAAGCACGATTAAGCATATTTTTTTTTATTTGTTTGGCAATAATGTGGAAATATTCCTCATTTGGATATAAGAACTTTTCATTTTGATTTTTATGGGCTTATTTATTGTATCAAGGTGCTTTAATCAGTATAGTATTGTTTTTCTTGTTAAGATTAACAATGTGTCATTTGTGACATAGAAATTCGTTATAATTATTGTGTAACTATTTTAAGGAATATGTACGAATCCCAAAACTTTCAAGTTTGAAAATAGAAATGACAAAGATCTTGAAATAAAAACAACTAATGGCAAAGTTGGCCAAGATTCAGAAAATGCATTTGAAGGATCATCAGGTAGCTGGACTCCAATTACTGACGGTAGTAGCATAGAATATGTCATAAATGGTAAAAATAATCTCGCTACATTTGTTGATATTGTGGTGAAACTCCTAAATATTGAGAGGATTACAGTGGATTTACTTGACTCAGAAGGAAATGTTATCAGCACAAAAACTGTGAGTACAATATTGTTTCCTTTAATATGGACTTTCTTAAATAAAGTTGATATATAGCAAATCTGATAACACATCAATCAAATAACAATTACTAAATATCATCTGTTTCTTTATTCTTGATTAGCCTTTGGCTTCGTCTTATTTTCTTTACAAAAATAACATTTTAAGGAGATTGACTTTAACATTAATATAAAACCGAAGACCAAATTATATATTCATTGCTGTGATCAGTAGGACCTGCACATTTTTAAGCCATGCATAAATACAATATATAATGAGAAAATCTGTACCATCATTTATATAACCTATTCGGAAGCTCTGCTGGTGGAAGTTGGGGATTCTACCATCTCGGAAGCTCAACAGCATGCCAAAAAGTAGACAAAATACCAATATACTGAATGACCTGTCGCCTAGTATAACAAGGTTTCAAGCGGATTTTCTAAAGGACACAACAAATCAAAATAATATAGTTTCCCTATATAAACAAAAGGAGATGTGGTATGATTGCCAATGAGACAACTATCCACCATAGTTTAAATGAAGTGGATGAAAGCAATTAGTACCATTTTTAAACTCAATTCAGTATTTGTTGAGACTCAAAACACTTCCGTTATCGAAACAAATTCTGCTAAGTATAACCTGGTTGCAATAATTATGAATATTCATTTCAACAGGGTATACCAACCCATGACAACTACTTCCAAAGATGATGAAAAATATAGTTTAGTAATAAGGGTAACTTTTCCACTAAAAACCTTAAACAATATTGTTCTTAAATGCAAAAATCGTTATGGAATGTCTCACTAAAGAAATTGGAATACGTCGCAACCCTGGAATCCCACATATACCCCTACATCATTCCCGAAAATCACAAACCCTTCCTTTTCCTCTCTGGTGTTAAAAAATAAGAGATGATGGAAATTTCCCGTTTCTGTACTAGGTACCTAAACTTTACAAAAGTCCTTAGAAAAATCAAAAAAAATCGCACAAAACCTTCTGAAAGGCAGAAAGAAAATATATCTTGCAAAGTTCCTCCATTTAACCTTCAGATATATTGAAGTTGTCCTGTTGCTCAATAACCCACATTTCAGTGAATACTTGCATCTCATATATCTCAGTTAAGGACACTAACGAAACTAAAATTGAGAATGGAAATGGGAAATGTGTCAAAGAGACAACAACCCGACCAAAGAGCAGAAAACAGCCCAAGGCTACCAATGGGTGTTCAACACAGCGAGAAAATCCCGCTACTGGAGGCGGGGTTCAGCTGGCCCCTTTCACAAAAGTGTGTACTAGTTCAGTGAAAATTGACATCACACTAAACTCCGAGACATTTGAATGAACTATAATTAAAAATAAACATACAAGACTATCAAAGGCCAGAGGCTCCTGACTTGGGACAGGCGAAAAAATGCAGCGGAGTTAAACATGTTTTGTGAGATCTCAATCCTCCCCCTATACCTCTAGCCAATATAGAATAAACAAACACAAAGCAATACGCACAGTAAAACACAGTTAACAGGAGTCCGATGTCAGAATTGGTAACAGAAGAAACTAAGCAAAATGACAATGATACAAATATTAACAAAGGACTACTAGCAGTAACTGACATGCCACCTCCAGACCTCAATTAAACTGATGGAAAGATTATGTCTTCATTATACGAAAATCAAATACAATCTCTCCCGTTAGGGGTTAAGTATCATATCATCATAAAATATATGAATAGAACATAACCCGTATCATGCCAACAACTGTTATATGTGTTTGTTTCCGATGCAAAGACGCAATGATGAATGTCTGCTTCCTATCTTAATCTTTATCACGATATTGACACATATATAAGACTTCAAATTATAATCTATGACAAACATGATAATTTCAACTTTTAAACTGTCCATTCTCCATTCTTTACCAGTAAAATAGACTGCGTCATCGTATGGCGTCTACATATTTCAATTAATACGTTACTCTGTTCATGTTCACATTGTAAATAGATATAAGAAGATGTGGTATGAGTGCCAATGAGACAACTCTCCATCCGAGTCAAAATGTATAAAAGTAAACCATTACAGGTCAAAGTACGGTCTTCAACACGGAGCCTTTGCTCACACCGAACATCAAGCTATAAAGGGCCCCAAAAATTACTAGTGTAAAACCATTCAAACGGGAAAACCAAAGACTTCATTAACGGGATGCTCCTGGCACAATACATTGATTCAACAGAGTTATGAGGAAAAACGACTGTTTTCGACACTACATACATTTTGTGGCCATCATTAAGAATTGGTTGACTGTTACGATATATCTTTGTCTCAGCTCACAAGCGACATGTACTCGCATTCTTAGATCTTTTGATACCAGATAGTCGTCTGATCTGTAAATTTACTGATAGTGTCCTATTCCCGATAGTGACAATTTGACGAGTTTTTTTATTCGCATGGGAAATGATGCGTGCATAATAGGAGACACTTACCCTGTGGTACCCTGTGGTACCCTGTGGTCCCACCCGGTCTCGTTTCTTTTAGAGTTAATGCAGTTCCCTCAATTTGGGTTTTTACCTTGATTTATAATTTCTTAACAGATTATATCTCTTATGAGATTTGAGCATAGGCAACTTACTGTTGTCTCTAATTTACATTATAGCAATTTCGATAATGATGAAAGCTCTGTCTTTATAAAAAAAAACATAGTGAAAAGGAGGTCATATTTATTTACATGTTTGTAAGCAGTTATGTTTAGATTTTAAAAATATGATTTAAATTTGCAGCAAACATACCAAACGAAAGAAGTGAAAGAAACCTTCACATTGAATTTCAATATGACAGATGCAGACTCTATGCGCATCAATGTTAAACCAATGGACAATATTGAAGCTACACCAAGCATTTCAGATGTTAAATTTAGAGTCTGTTATGTACCAGGTAAATCTAGTTTAAAGGTCATTTTTAGAAAACTCAGAGCTTACAAAAAAACACTTTTACGTATCCTTACTCTATCAAAATATACCGGATTTTGTTTGCCTTTTATGCAATGATCCTGATGATAGACTTCACAGATATTTTATAAATTATCGTGAAATTAGGTTTAAAAGAAACGTTATCAGTATAATAGATTAAAGAAATGTATTAAGTTGTCATTTGACCTAAGAATATAGTACAGAACATTGCAGAGAAAGAGAAATTTTATACAGTTCACGTATTATGCTGTTGCAATCGCTAAAAAGATGATGATTAGAACAACAAAAAAGAAGGGGTATCATTCACAAAACACTGTACTCTGGTATCGGTATGATTTTCCTGATGATAAATTTACATAAAAAAACTTTTTTTACATTACTATACATAAATATAAATGTTGGAATACACATCTTTAATCTAGATAATTTAAAATTAGTGAACTGTTTTGACAACGTAAATAAATAATGTCTCCTCATTTCAGTTACCAGTGCAGCATCAACAACTACAGGTTAGTTTTTTATTGTATGTTTTATTTATTCAGTGTTCAGTGTATCATTGAAGAAAATATTTTTTGTTCATGAAATTAAAAAAAAAGATTTTTGCTTTTTGATTTATCTGATTGACAGAATAGTAAGAAATTCAAAAATAATAATTGTTGAGTAGAAATGACAGAAAATGACAACAACAAGTGAACTATACCTACATCGTCAAAATTGAATGAAAATAATTAAAAAACTCTGATAGTACGTAGCAAAACAAATAGTGAGATATAAATTGTAATGGTGTCTCTTCTTGGCTCCTGCTGCTTGTATGGCATTATGTCAATAATTTCCTTCAACGGCATAATAGATGACCGAGTTTATGTATTTTCTCATGGCTGTTTACTTCAAGTATGACCGAAGAGGGGTGTTATGACAAAAATGTCAGGCTTTTTTTTTGCCATATTCACAATGTTGATGTTAAAAATAAGCGCATCATAACTTAGTTATATATTGGTATCATGTAGTAAACACCTGTCATACAAAAGTATCTGTATTTTTATGACAATAAGCAATAACTACGGGCACAACGGCAACCACTACTGGCACCACTCCACCTCCACCTGCACCACCAGTCAGTACATCACCAATCCCAGTAACTACAAGTACATTGCAGTCAAGTACCACACAAAAGTCTACAACAGCAACAGCACAGACAACTCCTACTACAGGTACAACACAACAGTCTACAACCACTGTCGGTACATCACAGCAAACAACTACTGCAGGTACTACACAGGCAACACCTACTTCAGGTACTACACAGCAGCCAACAACCACTGTCGGTACATCACAACCAACACCGACTCTACGTTCTACACAACAGCCAACAACAACTGTTGGTACATCACAGCCAACACCTACTCCAGGTACTACACAGCAGCCTACTACAACTGCTGGTATATCGCAGACAACACCTACGACAGGTACTACACAACAGCCTCCAACCACTGTCGGTACAACACAACCAACACCTACTCCAGGTACTACACAACAATCTACAACAACTGGAACCACAACTTCAGGAACAGGCCAGACAAAAGTTCAGACTACGACCATTGGCACAATGTCAACTGGTAATTATTCTAAACTTACCATTTTCCTTTAAAGTTGTCATATAATTGTTTTGACAAAACAATCACTCTTATCAATACCGATCAATCAAACCAAAAATATCATAATAAAACATGTATGAAGATACCATATTAAAGCATTTCGTATATCAGTTTTCTCAATGAACAAATTGAAATCTTACTTAAAAGGTGTTATAAGTTGTCTTCATCGATATGATGAAATACATTTATATAAATATCATTGAAAAGTAACATGAAGATGCATATGAACGAGATATATAAACAACAAGCAAATCTTGAATGTCTCATAGTCAATTAAATGCTATGAGATATTTAGATATTGTTTTCTTATTAATAACTGCAATACAAATTAAAATCAAGGTGGAACAACACAGAGCGGAGGCACACCACCGCCACTGCCACCTACTCCAGGTACTACACAACAGCTTACAACCACTGTCGGTACATCACAGACAACACCTACTCCAGGTACTACACAACAGCCTACAACTACTGTTGGTACATCACAGCAAACACCTACGACAGGTACCACACAGCAACCTACAACCACTGTCGGTACATCACAACCAACACCTACTACTGGTACCACACAACAGCCTACAACCACTGTTGGTACATCACAGCAAACACCTACGACAGGTACCACACATCAGCCTACAACCACTGTCGGTACATCACAGGCAACACCCACTACTGGTACCACACAACAGACTACAACCACTGCAACATCGCAACAAACAACTACTACAGGTACTACACAACAGTCCACAACCACTGTCGGTACATCACAGCAAACAACTACTACAGGTACTTCACAGGTAACACCTACACCAGGTACCACAAAACAGCCTACAACTACTGCAGCATCACAGCAAACAACTACTCCAGGCACCACACAACAGCCTACAACCGCTGTCGGTACATCACAGCCAACACCTACGACAGGTACCACACAACAACCTACAACCACTGGATCATCACAGCAAAGAACTACTACTGGTACCACAACTTCAGGAACAGGTCAGACAAAAGTTCAGACTACAACCGTTGGCACAATGTCAACTGGTAATTATTCTAAACTTACCATTTTCCTTTTAAATTTCTCATATAATTGTTTTGACAAAACAATCATTACTTATCAATACCAATCAATCAAACCAAAAATATCATAATAAAACATGTATGAAGATACCATATTAAAGCATTTCGTATATCATTTTTCTCAATGAACAAATTGAAATCTTACTTAAATGGTGTTATAAGTTCTCTTGATCGATATGATGAAATACATTAATATAAATATCATTGAAAAGTAACATATGAATATGCATATGAACGAGATATATAAACAACAAGCAAAACTTGAATGTCTCATAGTCAATTAAATGCTATGAGATATTTAGATATTGTTTTCTTTTTAATAATTGCAATACAAATTAAAATCAAGGTAGAAAAACATTGAGCGGATCCACAACACCGCCGCTGCCACCAACACCAAGTGTCACTGAACAGTCTACGACCATTCCAGTGACATCTCAAACAACTTCTATTCCAGGTACTACGCAGCAATCTACAACACCAGCATCATCACAACCAACACCTACTCCAGGTACTACACAACAGCTTACAAACACTGTCGGTACATCACAGGCAACACCTACTCCAGGTACTACACAACAGCCTACAACCACTGTTGGTACATCACAGCAAACACCTACGACAGGTACCACACAGCAACCTACAACCACTGTCGGTACATCACAGGCAACACCCACTACTGGTACCACACAACAGACTACAACCACTGCAACATCGCAACAAACAACTACTACAGGTACTACACAACAGTCCACAACCACTGTTGGTACATCACAGCAAACAACTACTACAGGTACTACACAGGTAACACCTACTTCAGGTACCACACAACAGCCTACAACTACTTCAGCATCACATCAAACAACTACTCCAGGCACCACACAACAGCCTACAACCGCTGTCGGTACATCACAGCCAACACCTACGACAGGTACCACACAACAGCCTACAACCACTAGATCATCACAGCAAACAACTACTACTGGTACCACAACTTCAGGAACAGGCCAGACAAAAGTTCAGACTACAACCGTTGGCACAATATCAACTGGTAATTATTCTAAACTTACCATTTTCCTTTTAAATTTGTCATATAATTGTTTTGACAAAACAATCATTACTTATCAATACCGATCAATCAAACCAAAAATATCATAATAAAACATGTATGAAGATACCATATTAAAGCATTTCGTATATCATTTTTCTCAATGAACAAATTGAAATCTTACTTAAAAGGTGTTATAAGTTGTCTTCATCGATATGATGAAATACATTAATATAAATATCATTGAAAAGTAACATATGAATATGTATATGAAAGAGATATATAAACAACAAGCAAAACTTGAATGTCTCATAGTCAATTAAATGCTATGAGATATTTAGATATTGTTTTCTTATTAATAATTGCAATACAAATTAAAATCAAGGTGGAACAACCTTGAGCGGATCCACAACACCGCCACTGCCACCAACACCAAGTATCACTGAACAGTCTACGACTATTCCAGTGACATCTCAAATAACTACTATTCCAGGCACTACACAGCAGTCTACAACAACAGCATCATCACAACCAACACCTACTCCAGGTACAACACAACAGCTTACAACCACTGTCGGTACATCACAGGCAACACCTACTCCAGGTACTACACAACAGCCTACAACCACTGTTGGTACATCACAGCAAACACCTACGACAGGTACCACACAGCAACCTACAACCACTGTCGGTACATCACAACCAACACCTACTACTGGTACCACACAACAGCCTACAACCACTGTTGGTACATCACAGCAAACACCTACGACAGGCATCACACATCAGCCTACAACCACTGTCGGTACATCACAGGCAACACCCACTACTGGTACCACACAACAGACTACAACCACTGCAACATCGCAACAAACAACTACTACAGGTACTACACAACAGTCCATAACCACTGTCGGAACATCACAGCAAACAACTACTACAGGTACTACACAGGTAACACCTACTCCAGGTACCACACAACAGCCTACAACTACTTCAGCATCACAGCAAACAACTACTCCAGGCACCACACAACAGCCTACAACCGCTGTCGGTACATCACAGCCAACACCTACGACAGGAACCACACAACAGCCTACAACCACTGGAGGATTACAGCAAACAACTTCTCCAGGCACCACACAACAGCCTACAACCGCTGTCGGTACATCACAGCCAACACCTACGACAGGTACCACACAACAGTCTACAACCACTGGATCATCACAGCAAACAACTACTACTGGAACCACAACTTCAGGAACAGGCCAGACAAAAGTTCAGACTACAACCGTTGGCACAATGTCAACTGGTAATTATTCTAAACTTACCATTTTCCTTTTAAATTTGTCATATAATTGTTCTGACAGAACAATCAATACTTATGAATACCGATCAATCATACCAAAAATATCATAATAAAACATGTATAAAGATACCATATTAAAGCATTTCGTATATCAGTTTTCTCAATGAACAAATTGAAATCTTACTTAAAAGGTGTTATAAGTTGTCTTCATCGATATAATAAAATACATTAATATAAATATCATTGAAAAGTAACATATTAATATGCATATGAAAGAGATATATAAACAACAAGCAAAACTTGAATGTCTCATAGTTAATTAAATGCTATGAGATATTTAAATATTGTTTTCTTATTGATAATTGCAATACAAATTAAAATCAAGGTGGAACAACCTTGAGCGGATCCACAACACCGCCACTGCCACCAACACCAAGTATCACTGAACAGTCTACGACCATTCCAGTGACATCACAACCAACATCTACTCCAGGTACTACAACCACTGTTGGTACATCAAAGCAAACACCTACGACAGGTACCACACATCAGCCTACAACCACTATCGGTACATCACAAGCAACACCCACTACTGGTACCACACAACAGACTACAACCACTGCAACATCGCGGCAAACAACTACTACAGGTACTACACAACAGTCCACAACCACTGTCGGTACATCAGAGCAAACAACTACTACAGGTACCACACAACAGTCCACAACCACTGTCGGTACATCACAGCAAACAACTACTGCAGGTAATACACAGGTAACAACTTCTCCAGGTACCACACAACAGCCTACAACTACTGCAGCATCACAGCAAACAACTACTCTACGCTCCACACAACAGCCTACAACCGCTGTCGGTACATCACGGCAAACACCTACGACAGGTACCACACAACAGCCTACAACCACTGCAACATCACAGCAAACCACAACTACTGGAACCACAACTTCAGGAACAGGCCAAACAAAAGTTCAGACTACAACCGTTGGCACAATGTCAACTGGTAATTATTTTAAACTTACTATTTTCCTTTTAAATTTGTCATATGATTGTTTTGACAGAACAATCAATACTTATGAATACCGATCAATCATACCAAAAATATCATAATAAAACATGTATGAAGATACCAAATTAAAGCATTTCGTATTTCAGTTTTCTCAATGAACAACGTGAAATCTTACTTAAAAAGGTGTTATAAGTTGTCTTCATCGATATAATGAAATACATTAATAAACATATCATTGAAAAGTAACATATTAATATGCATATGAAAGAGATAATTGAACAACAAGCAAAACTTAAATGTCTCATAGTCAATTAAATGCTATGTGATATTTATATATATTGTTTTAATTATTATTAATTGCAATACAAATTAAAATCAAGGTGGAACAACAACGAGCGTACCCACAACACCGCCACTGCCACCAACACCAAGTGTCACTGAACAGTCTACGACCATTTCAGTGACATCACAACCAACTACTACTCCAGGTACTACACAGCAGTCTTCAACAACAGCATCATCACAACCAACACCTACGACGGGTACTACACAACAACTTACAACCACTGTCGGTACATCACAGGCAACACCTACTACAGGTACTACACAACAGCCTACAACCACTGTTGGTACATCACAGCAAACACCTACGACAGGTACCACACAGCAACCTACAACCACTGTCGGTACATCACATCCAACACCTACTACTGGTACCCCACAACAGTCTACAAGCACTGTTGGTACATCACAACCAACACCTACTCCAGGTACTACACAACAGCCTACAACCACTGTCGGTACATCACAACCAACACCTACTCCAGGTACTACACAACAGCCTACAACCACTGTCGGTACATCACGACCAACACCTACTACGGGTACAACACAACAACCTACAACCACTGTCGGTACATCACAGCAAACACTTACGACAGGTACCACACAGCAACCAACAACCACTGTCGGTACATCACAGGCAACACCTACTACAGGTACTACACAACAGCCTACAACCACTGTTGGTACATCACAGCAAACACCTACGACAGGTACCACACAGCTACCTACAACCACTGTCGGTACATCACAGTCAACACCTACTGCAGGTACTACACAACAGCCTACAACCACTGCAACATCACAGCAAACAACTACCGGTACTACACAACAGTCTACAACCGCTGTCGGTACATCACAACCAACAACTACTGCAGGTACAACACAGCAGCCTACAACCATTGTTGGTACATCACAACCAACATCTACTACAGGTACTACACCACAGCGTACAACCTCTGTTGGTACATCACAGACAACTGCTACTCCAGGTACCACACAACAGCCTACAACTACTGCAGCATCACAGCCAACACCTACTCCGGGTACTACACCACAACCTACAACCACTGCAGGATCACAGCCAACACCTACTGCAGGTACAACACAACAGCCTTCAACAACTGTAATATCATCATCAACGCCAACATCTACTACAGGTAACAACACATTATTTGATATGAAGCCAGGTACCAAACGTGTTTGGTCTATTTTTTCAATCTTATCTGATAATCATTTCAGATAAGCTGATAAAAATGAAAAACAGCAATTATTAAGTTTTATTCTAGCTTTGTTTTATAAGAAATATATTTTCTTTTTCGGCCCCCGAAGGGTGACTGGGAAATACAAATATGGTCACTACATGTCTTCTTCCGACCGGCAGTAAAACCCTTGCCAAAGTGGGGCGTCCTTTTGGCTGTGCGGGATGTACAAGAACGCAGCCACGACCGGTCAAAATGGTGACGTTAAATCCGAGGCCTTGTGTATAGAGTTTCGTCACGCTCTCTGTACGTTAAGAATCCTTGCAACAACTCTGAGGGGTCCGTAGGTGGCCTGTCCTCATTCAATGTACCCTTTTTTTTCAATGGCAGTCCAAATTTCCCCGACCTTCATCCCCGATGGCCTCTATTACAGGACCTACCTATTGTATTTATTGTTGATTTGTTCTGGTCCTGAACATGCATTAAATATTTGCCACTTGACGTTAAGCAATCAACAATCAATATTCTTTTTCAGAAACAGTACAAAGTACTATCACAACACCCCAAGGTTAGTTATTTTCAGTAGTTTTATAAAATATATGTAGGACTCTAAAGTGCGATGGGGACGCTAACACGCGATGGCCACACTAAAGTGCGATAGTCTACGCTAAAGTGCGATTGTTTGATACGCTAAAGTACGATGGTCTGTGTTATTAAATGGAACACGCTAAAGTCCGATGGCTCAATACGCTAAAGTTGGTTTTCCCGACAACAATGGAAATCAACAAAAATGAAAAAGCGGATTACCTTAATAGTGACGATGTGTATGAAACGCTTTGAAAACCATATTTTTCAGTAGTTCGGTAAAATTAATTGATAAGTAATATAAACATAGTGTTGCTAGTTGAACGTACAGTGGCAAATTTCACATGCATATACAGGACGATCATACACATGATCATTTGATCATTTATTCTGAAATAATTTTAGTATTTCTACTTTTCATGTTAAAGTTACAAAAAATAATTTAACTTAAGAGGAAAAGGAGATTCTGGAGATGGCTCACTTGGATGTTGAGGAATTAAATTCGTCCAATTTTAATTTAGCAGCTTCTTCTATGTTTGTAATTCCATGTTATGAACTTGCGTGAAATAAAGTCTACTTTTTTACTTTCTAATGAAATCATTCTTAGATTATAAAACATTTTTTTACAATATGGTTCGTCATTTCTGTTAAAGATATGGATATACGTCAACTAGACAGTAACCAAACGACCAGATAGACCAAATGTGTTTAATGTAAGCAACGATAGGTTACCGCATGGCCTTTAACGCGGAGCATTGGCTTTATCCGCATGGTATTCTAACTTGAACGTATATACTAGCAACTGCAATGTACCTATTACACTTTTTTGACAACTATCGTACTTTGAATAAAAAAATGAGACACATATATACCCAAGACCAAATGTCGTTGATATATGCAACTAATAACTACGGCCTTTAACGTGGAGACTTAGCCTGCGCCGCATAGCAATCTATATATTATATATACATAGGGCCACACAATGTCCAGTGTAAATTTAAAAACAAATAAGAAGAGAAAGACAATAATAGGAACACAGAAACAAACGAAAACCATTGCCGCAACCCCATTCCTGTTACACCATCGCACTTTACCGTGCTATACCTTCGCACTTTAGCGTGTCATACCATCACACTTTAGCGTTTGACACCATCGCACTTTAGCGTATAACATCGCACTTTAGAGTATCATCGCACATTAGAGTCCTACATATATATTTGTAACGATTTTTAAACTTTTGATTGCTGATATAAGACGAAACGTGGAAGCAGACAGTTTCAAATATTACAAATGTAATCCGGGTTTCAACATGTTTACAAACCAACCCTCGCCAAAAAACTCTATAAATGAAAATTTTATCTTGTTGAAAAATTACCTAACTACTGCTATCAGTGTTTTAAGTGTTAGCAGAAAATGAAAAATTATAACTTCATACCATTAAAAACTGAAGAAGACTTCGTAAGTTTACTTTACCAGTATGCAGTACCCTAAAGATCAATAAGTCACCAAAGAACTATTATCCTTACAATTATAACTAATAAATATTCATCACTTGTTTTTGTCTGCACCACGGTTACTTAACTTTTGTCTGATTGACAGTCTCTTAAATCAGATTATTTTTTTCTATATTCAGTCTAATGAGAGATGAACATATATTAAGATGCTTTAAGATTATTGAAGACTGTATGTATTCTTTTGTGGTTTTGATGTTTATTGGTTGCTGTCTCATGTTGGTATATCACATATTCTCTCATATTTATGATTATAAGACCGAATTTGTTTGTTTGATTTCTAGTACTAAAAAGCACGATTAAGCATATATTTTTTTTTGTTTGGCAATAATGTGGAAATATTACTCATTTGGATATATGAAGTTTTCATTTTGATTTTTATCGGCTTATTTATTGTATGAAGGTGCATTGATGAGTATAGTATTGTTTTTCTTGTTAAGATTAACAATGTGTCATTTGTGACATAGAAATTCGTTATAATTATTGTGTTACTATTTTAAGGAGTATGTACGAATCCCAAAACTTTCAAGTTTGAAAATAGAAATGACACAGATCTTGAAATAAAAACAACTAATGGCAAAGTTGGCCAGGATTCAGTAAACGCATTTGAAGGATCCACAGGTAGCTGGACTCCAATTACTGACGGTAGTAGCATAGAATATGTCATAAATGGTAAAAATAATCCCGCTACATTTGTTGATATTGTGGTGAAACTCCTAAATATTGAGAGGATTACAGTGGATTTACTTGACTCAGAAGGAAATGTTATCAGCACAAAAACTGTAAGTACAATATTGTTTCCTTTAATATGGACTTTCTTATAAAACAAATAAAGTTGATATATAGCAAATCTGATAACACATCAATCAAATAACAATTACTAAATATCATCTGTTTCTTTATTCTTGATTAGCCTTTGGCTTCGTCTTATTTCTTTACAAAATTTACATTTTAAGGAGATTGACTTTTACATTAATATAAAACCGAAGACTAAATTATATATTCATTGCTGTGTTCAGTAGGACCTGGAAATTTTTAAGCCATGCAAAAATACAATATATAATGAAAAAATCTGTACCATCATTTATATAACCTATTCGTAATCTCTGCTTGTGGAAGTTGGGGATTCTACCAGCTCGGAAGCTCAACAGCATGTCAAAAAGTAGACAAAATACCAATATACTGAATGACCCGTCGCCTAGGATAACACGGTTTCAAGCGGATGTTCTAAAGGACACAACAAATCAAAATAATATAGTATCCCTATATAAACATAAGGAGGTGTAGTATGATTGCTAATGAGACAACTATCCACCAGAGTTTAAATGAAGTGAATGAAAGCAATTAGTACCATTTTTTAAACTCAATTCACTATTTCTTGAGACTCAAAACATTTCCGTTATCGAAACAATACCAACCTGGTTGCAATAATTATGGATATTCATTTCAACAGGGTATACCAACCCATGACAACTACTTCCAAAGATGATGAAAAATATAGTTTAGTAATAAGGGTAACTTTTCCACTAAAAACCTTAAACAATATTGTTCTTAAATGCAAAAATCTTTATGGAATGTCTCACTAAAGAAATTGGAATACGTCGCAACCCTGGAATCCCGCATGTACCCCTACATCATTCCCGAAAATCACAAACCCTTCCTTTTTCTCTCTGGTGTTAAAAAATAAGAGATGATGGAAATCTCCCGTTTCTGAACTAGGTACCTAAACTTTACAAAAGTCCTTAGAAAAATTAAAAAAATTACACAGAACCTTCTGAAAGGCAAAAAGAAAAATATATCTTGCAAAGTTCTTCCATTTAACCTTCAGATATATTGAAGTTGTCCTGTTGCTCAATAACCCACATTTCAGTGAATACTTGCATCTCATATGTCTCAGTTAAGGACACTACCGAAACTAAAATTGAGAATGGAAATGGGGAATGTGTCAAAGAGACAACAACCCGACCAAAGAGCAGACAACAGCCGAAGGCTACCAATGGGTGTTCAACACAGCGAGAAAATCCCGCTACTAGAGGCGGGGTTCAGCTGGCCCCTTTAACAAAAATATATACTAGTTCAGTGGGAATGGACGTCACATAAAACATCGAAACATAAAAATGAACTAAAATAAAAAATAAACATACAAGACTATCAAAGGCCAGAGGCTCCTGACTTGGGACAGGCGCAAAAATGCGGCGGAGTTAAACATGTTTTGTGAGATTTCAATCCTCCCCTAATACCTCTAGCCAATGTAGAATAAACAAACACACAACAATACGCACAGTAAAACACAGTTAACAGGAAGTCCGAGTCCGATGTCAGAATAGGTAACAGAAGAAACTAAGCAAAATGACAATGATACAAAAATTAACAAAGGACTACTAGCAGTTACTGACATGCCAGCTCCAGACCTCAATTGAACTGATGGAAAGATTATGTAATCATTATAATTTGATTTTGATTTTTGGTGCTTTAACGCCACTTTTAAACACCGCTTTTGGGCTATTTCGTGGCGGCCAGTTTTTATTGGTGGAGGAAGCCGGAGTGCCCGGAGAAAACCACAGACCTTCGATAGGAAAACTGACAATCCTAGTCAATTAAGATTGGAGTCGAGTGCACCCTCACAAGCGTGGTTCGAACTCACAACATCAGTGTTGAATGGCTAGTGATTACAGTAGTAACTACTTAGACCACTCGGCCACCGAGGCCCCTGTGTCTTCATTATATGTAAATCAAATACAATCTCTCCTGTTAGGGGTTAAGTATCATAACATCATAAAATATATGAGAAGAACATATAACCCGTAGCATGCCAACAACTGTTTTATGTGTTTATTTCCGATGCAAAGACCCTATGAGTGAATGTCTGCTGCCTATCTTAATCTTTTTCACGATATTGACACAGATATAAGACTACAAATTATAATCTATGACAAAAATGATGATTTCAACTTTCAAACTGTCCACTCTCCATTCTTTACCAGTAAAATAGACTGCCTCATCGTATGGCGTCTACATATTTCAATTAATACGTTACTCTCGTTCATATTCACATTGTAAAGAGTTCATTAACAGGGGATACTCCTGGCACAATACATTGATTCAACAGAGTTATGAGGAAAAACGACTGTTTTTGACACTATATAAATTTTGTGGCCATCATTAAGAATTGATTGACTGTTACGATATATCTTTGTCTCAGCTCACAAGCGACATGTACTCGCATTCTTAGATCTTTTGATACCAGATAGTCTTCTAATCTGTAAATTGACTGATAGTGTCCTATTCCCGATTGTGACAATTTGACGAGTTTTTTTATTCGTATGGCAAGTGATGTGTGCATCATAGGAGACACTAACCTTGTGTAACCCTGTGGTCCCACCCGGTCTCGTTTCGTTTAGAGTTAATGCAATTCCCTCAGTTTGGGTTTTTACCTTGATTTATAATTTCTTAACAGATTATATCTCTTATGAGATTTGAGCATCGGTAACTTACTATTATCTCTAGTTTACATTATAGCAATTTCGATAATGATGAAAGCTCTGTCTTTATAAAAAAAAATATAGTGAAAAGGAGGTCATATTTATTTACATGTTTGTAAACAGTTATGTTTAGATTTTAAAAATATGATTTAAATTTGCAGCAAACATACCAAACGAAAGAAGTGAAAGAAACCTTCACATTGAATTTCAATATGACAGATGCAGACTCTATGCGCATCAATGTAAAACCAATGGACAATATTGAAGCTACACCAAGCATTTCAGATGTTAAATTTAGAGTCTGTTATGTACCAGGTAACTCTATTTTAAAGGTTATTTTAATAAAACTCAGAGCTTACAAAAAACACTTTTACGTATCCTTACTCTATCAAAATATACCGGATTTTATTTGCCTTTTATGCAATGATCATGATGATAGACTTCACAGATATTTAACAAATTATCGTGAAATTAAGTTTAAAAGAAACGTTATCAGTATAATAGATGAAAAAAATGTATTAAGTTGTCATTTGACCTAAGCATATAGTACAGAACATTGTAGGGAAAGAGAAATTTTATATAGTTCACGTATTATGCTATTGCAATCGCTACAAAGATGATGATTAGAACAACAAAAAAAGCAGGGATATCATTCACAAAAGACTGTACTCTGGTATCAGTATGATAATCAACATTTCCTTATGATAAATTGACATAAAAACACTTGTTTTACATTACTATACATAAATATAAATGTTGGAATACACATCTTTAATCTAATTAATTTAAAATTAGTGAACTGTTTTGACAACGTAAATAAATAATGTCTCCTCATTTCAGTTACCAGTGCAGCATCAACAACTACAGGTTAGTTTTGTATTGCATGTTTTATTTATTCAATGTTCAGAATATCATTGTAGAGAATATTTTTTGTTAATGAAAGTAAAAAAATGATTTTTGCTTTTTGATTTATCTGATTGACAGAATAGTAAGAAATTCAAGAATCATAATTGTTGAGTAGAAATGACAGAAAATGACAACAACAAGTGAACCATACCTACATCGTCAAATTTGAATGAAAATAATTGAAACACTCTAATAGTACGTAGCAAAACGAATAGTGAGATATAAATTGTAATGGTTTCTCTTCTTGGCTCCTGCTGCTTGTATGGCATTATGTCAATAATTTCCTTCAACGGCATAATAGATGACCGAGTTTATGTATTTTCTCATGGCTGTTTACTTCGAGTATGACCGAAAAGGGGTGTTATGACAAAAATGTCAGGCTTTTTTTTTGCCATATTCTTTAAAAAAAAAGCGCATCATAAGTTCATTATATATTGGTATCATGTAGTAAACACCTGTCTTACAAAAGTATCTGTATTTTTATGACAATAAGCAATAACCACGGGCACAACGGCAACCACTACTGGCACCACTCCACCTCCACCTGCTCCACCAGTCAGTACATCACCTATCCCAGTAACTACAAGTACATTTCAGTCAAGTACCACACAAACGTCTACAACAGCAACAGAACAGACAACCCCTACTACAGGTACTACACAACAGTCTACAACCACTGTCGGTACATCACAGCAAACAACTACTGCAGGTACTACACAGGTAACACCTACTCCAGGTACTACACAACAGTCTACAACTACTATCGGTACATCACAGCCAACACCTACTCTAGGATCTACACAACAGCCAACAACAACTGTTGGTACATCACAGCCAACACCTACTCCAGGTACTACACAGCAGCCAACAACCACTGTTGGTACAACACAACCAACACCTACTCCAGGTACTACACAACTGCCAACAACCACTGTCGGTACATCAAAACCAACACCTACTCCAGGTACCTCAAAACAGCCTACAACTACTGTAGTATCACAGTCAACACCTACTCCAGGTAGTACACAGCAGTCTACAACAACGACATTATCACAACCAACACCTACTCCAGGTACTACACATCAGTCTACAACCACTGTCGGAACATCAGAGCAAACAACTACTGCAGGTACTACACAGGTAACACCTACTCCAGGTACTACACAACAGTCTACAACCACTGTCGGAACATCACAGCAAACAACTACTGCAGGTACTACACAGTCAACCGCTACTCCAGGTAGTACACAGCAGTCTCCAACAACAGAATCAACACAACCAACACCTACTACAGGTACTACACAGCAGTCTTCAACCACTGTCGGTACATCACAACAAACAACTACTGCAGGTACTACACAGGTAACACCTACTTCAGGTACTACACAACAATCTATAACCACTGTCGGTACATCACAGCCAACACCTACTCCAGGTACTACACAGCAGTCTACAACCACTGTCGGTACATCACAGCCAACACCTACTCCAGGTACTACACAACAGTCTACAACCACTGTCTTTACATCACAGCCAACACCTACTCCAGGTACTACACAGCAGCCAACAACCACTGTTGGTACAACACAACCAACACCTACTCCAGGTACTACACAACTGCCAACAACCACTGTCGGTACATCACAACCAACACCTACTGAAGGTACCACACAACAGCCAACAACCACTGTCGGTACATCAAAACCAACACCTACTCCAGGTAGTACACAGCAGTCTACAACAACAGCATCATCACAACCAACATCTACTCCAGGTACTACACAACAGTCTACAACCACTGTCGGTACATCACAGCAAACAACTACTGCAGGTACCACACAGGTAACACCTACTCCAGGTACTACACAACAGTCTACAACTACTGTCGGTACATCACAGCCAACACCTACTCTAGGATCTACACAACAGCCAACAACAACTGTTGGTACATCACAGCCAACACCTACTCCAGGTACTACACAGCAGCCAACAACCACTGTTGGTACAACACAACCAACACCTACTCCAGGTACTACACAACTGCCAACAACCACTGTCGGTACATCAAAACCAACACCTACTCCAGGTACCTCAAAACAGCCTACAACTACTGTAGTATCACAGTCAGCACCTACTCCAGGTAGTACACAGCAGTCTACAACAACGACATTATCACAACCAACACCTACTCCAGGTACTACACAACAGTCTACAACCACTGTCGGAACATCAGAGCAAACAACTACTGCAGGTACTACACAGGTAACACCTACTCCAGGTACTACACATCAGTCTACAACCACTGTCGGAACATCACAGCAAACAACTACTGCAGGTACTACACAGCCAACCGCTACTCCAGGTAGTACACAGCAGTCTACAACAACAGAATCACCACAACCAACACCTACTACAGGTACTACACAGCAGTCTACAACCACTGTCGGTACATCACAACAAACAACTACTGCAGGTACTACACAGGTAACACCTACTTCAGGTACTACACAACAATCTACAACCACTGTCGGTACATTACAGCCAACACCTACTCCAGGTACTACACAGCAGTCTACAACCACTGTCGGTACATCAGAGCCAACACCTACTCCAGGTACTACACAACAGTCTACAACCACTGTCGGTACATCACAGCCAACACCTACTCCAGGTACTACACAGCAGCCAACAACCACTGTTGGTACAACACAACCAACACCTACTCCAGGTACAACACAACTGCCAACAACCACTGTCGGTACATCACAACCAACACCTACTGAAGGTTCCACACAACAGCCAACAACCACTGTCGGTACATCAAAACCAACACCTACTCCAGGTACTTCAAAACAGCCTACAACTACTGTAGCATCACAGTCTACACCTACTCCAGGTAGTACACAGCAGTCTACAACAACAGCATCATCACAACCAACATCTACTCCAGGTACTACACAACAGTCTACAACCACTGTCGGAACATCAGAGCAAACAACTACTGCAGGTACTACACAGGTAACACCTACTCCAGGTACTACACAACAGTCTACAACCACTGTCGGAACATCACAGCAAACAACTACTGCAGGTACTACACAGCCAACCGCTACTGCAGGTAGTACACAGCAGTTTACAACAACAGAATCATCACAACCAACACCTACTACAGGTACTACACAACAGTCTACAACCACTGTCGGTACATCACAGCAAACAACTACTGCAGGTACTACAAAGGTAACACCTACTCCAGGTACTACACAACAGTCTACAACCACTGTCGGTACATCACAGCCAACACCTACTCCAGGTACTACACAGCAGCCAACAACCACTGTTGGTACAACACAACCAACACCTACTCCAGGTACTACACAGCTGCCAACAACCACTGTCGGGACATCACAACCAACACCTACTGAAGGTACCACACAACTGCCAACAACCACTGTCGGGACATCACAACCAACACCTACTCCAGGTACTACACAACAGTCTACAACCACTGTCGGAACATCAGAGCAAACAACTACTGCAGGTACTACACAGGTAACACCTACTCAAGGTACTACACAACAGTCTACAACCACTGTCGGAACATCACAGAAAACAACTACTGCAGGTACTACACAGTCAACCGCTACTCCTGGTAGTACACAGCAGTCTACAATAACAGAATCATCACAACCAACACCTACTACAGGTGCTACACAGCAGTCTACAACCACTGTCGGTACATCACAGCAAACAACTACTGCAGGTACTACACAGGTAACACCTACTCCAGGTACTACACAACAGTCTACAACCACTGTCGGTACATCACAGCCAACACCTACTCCAGGTACTACACAGCAGCCAACAACCACTGTTGGTACAACACAACCAACACCTACTCCAGGTACTACACAACTGCCAACAACCACTGTCGGGACATCACAACCAACACCAACTGAAGGTACCACACAACTGCCAACAACCACTGTCGGTACATCAAAACCAACACCTACTCCAGGTACTTCAAAACAGCCTACAACTACTGTAGCATCACAGTCAACACCTACTCCAGGTACTACACAACAGTCTACAACCACTGTCGGAACATCACAGCAAACAACTACTGCAGGTACTACACAACCAACCCCTACTCCAGGTACTACACATCAGTCTACAACAACAGCATCATCACAACCAACACCTACTCAAGGCACTACACAACAGTATACAACAACTGTAGGTATATCACAAACAACACCTACTGAAGGTACCACACAACAGCCTACAACAACTGTCGCAACTTCACAACCAACACCTACTACAGGTACTACACAAAAGCCTACTACCACTGTAGGTACATCACAGCAAACACCTACTCCAGGTACAACACAAAAGCCTACAACCACAACAGCATCACAACCAACACATACTGAAGGTACCTCACAACCAACACCAAATACAGGTACTACACAACAGTCTACAACCACTACATTAACAACTTTGAAAACGGGCCAAACGATCATTGGGACTACAACTGTTGGCACAATGTCAACTGGTAATATTTTCATTTTAACAATTTTTTCCTCTATAATTTTGTATATAATTGTTTTCGATATAGAAATCAAAATTAATCTTCAGCTTAGTCCAAATTAAAACAAAATCATATCAATACACATATGGAGAAAACAATCAAAGCATTTTGTAATGTGTTCTTCTGTATTAAAAAACTCTTGAAAAAGTGTAAATTGTTTGTAAAGTGTAAATGTAAATGAAACAGATGATTGAACACCAAGCAAAGCTTAAATGACTCATTGTCTATTATAGGCTCTAAAATAATTAGATATTTTATTCTTGCTATATATATTGCAATACAAATTATTGATATAGGTGTTACAAGATCGAGCGAATCTACAACACCACCACTACCACCAACACCGAGAACATCCCAACTGTCTACAACCACTACAGCAACATCTCAACCAAGAACGTCTACAGGCAATACACAACAGCCAACCACAACAGCAACATCACAGCAAACAACTACTCTAGTTACAACAAAACAATCAACAACTACTACAACATCACAGCCAACACCTGCTCCTGGTACTACACAACAGCCAACTACAACAGCAGCATCGCAGACAACAACTACTTCAGGTACTACACAACAGTCTACAACCACTGTCGGTACATCACAGCCAACAACTACTCCAGGTACCACACAACAGCCAACAACAACAGCATCATCACAACAAACACCTACCACAGGTACTACACACCAGTCTACAACCACTGTCGGTACATCACAGCCAACAACTACTCCAGGTACCACACAACAGCCAACAACAACACCATCATCACAACAAACACCTACTACAGGTACTACACAACAGCCTACAACAACTGTCGGTACATCACAACAAATACCTACCACAGGTACTACACAAAAGCCTTCAACTACTCCAGGTACCACACAACAGACAACAACCATTGTCGGTACATCACAACAAACACCTACTACCAGTACTACACAACAGCCTACAACCACTGTCGGTACATCACAACAAACAATTACCACAGGTACTACACAACAGCCTACAACAACTGTCGGTACATCACAACAAACACCTACCACAGGTACTACACAACAGCCTACAACCACTGTAGCATCACAGCCAACACCTATTGAAGGTACTACACAGCAGCCTACAACCACTGTTGGTACATCACAGGCAACAGCTACTACAGGTACCACACAACAGCTAACCACAACAGCAACATCACAGCCAACAACTGCTTTAGGTATTCAGGATTTCTAATTCTTCATGTACTTTAACTAGTACAATATTTGTTTTTGTTCGTTTATTTTTACCATAGCCAGTACTGTTTAAAATCTCATACCATATATAATGACGTAAATTCTATTTCGAGTAGGTGTTGGTAATCATACCAAATTTTCTTATTTTTATAATTAGTTCATAAAAAAGTTAGGTGCGTCAATGTTGATTTATCACGGTGCAGCGGTTCCGAATTTTGAAACAGACTACTAAACATCACTTTGAAAGTATATGAAGGAATTCATATGCTTAGCAGGATATGTATGCTAACTCTGAAGACCTTGCTTTGCTAATTTTATGCTTGAAATTGAGCTTTCCAAAACGTTGGTCTGTTTGAGAGTTCCTGGTGAAGGTTGTGTCAGAAATACATGTCTTGCAAACTAAAATGAGTATCATGAGTTTGTTTGCCTATGGAACAGAAAGTCGATGATATTGGATTTCCTTATCTTCATCCGTCTTTTCTGCTTAAAGTCTATAGAATAATGGCATTTTGGTTTTTGATACTGATTTTAACAACAACAATATCAAGGGAACTCGCTACCGCGAACTGATATACAAGCTGATAAAATCAGTATCAAAATATAAAATGCCATTTTCCTTTTTATCGGCAATGTAGAATATTGAATTTCACGAAGTAGTTAAGAAAAGAGATAGTTGTCCGGTTTTATGAATGACGTTCCGTGCATCATTTTGAAATAGATGCGGATTGACATGAAAATTATAACGTTGACATTCGGCAGTAGAATCAACGGAAACATGTGCATATTGCCGATAACTTTATATACTCTGTCAGAGAGTTTTTACACATGCTTAATGTATGGAGGTTATTTGAATTTGATCTTCAAATTTTTTAAAACCTCACATGATGTGAAACTTTATTCATTAGTATGCCCGTGTGAGGACAATTTCCAGTATTTAATATTTTTTTCATAATGAATACAACTTCATTTATGATACTTTCCATGTGACAAATCAAATTTTTGTTTTTATACGTTAGGTTCACCGAGACAAATCTTTGTCTGGTTTTGAGAGATATGAAAAGACTATATAGTATGTTTCCTTTTGGTTTTTGAGATATGTCACATCACTGAGGCATATTTCGACACTGAGTAGTAGCGGTTTGCAAGTAAATATGGAAAAACTGCAAAACATATAAAAGATTGTCTTATTAAGAAAATCTGTCTACATTTTAAATTTTTTGTAAATTCAAGAATACACAAATAGTTGTAGTCATATGAAAGCAACTGAAAATCCAATATAATTATACGATTGTCAGTTTTTTGTTTGCAGTTCATGCCATAATAATTTAATGTAAATGTGTTTGTGCAAATAAAAGTTTCTATCAACTACATACCGTTCTTAGTATACTCACAAAGCAAGTTGTACTGTACGTAATTTAAACATTTATTCAAACTAGAAGACTAAAATGAAATTCATCAGTTGTGAATAATGGACATTAACATTAGAACAGCAGAACAGTTGAATATGTCTTGCCGCTTAATATGACGTTAAAGAAACTAACGTTTGATTTCAGGTCGAGAAAAGGGGGATGGTCCTTGAAATGAATATTCTGGCCTGTTTAAAACTGAAAATAATAAGGTTTACCTCACATAGGATGAGTCTTACATCAAGTGAAATTATTCCGCCAGCATACCCCCCACCCAATTTAAAAAAAAATATTAATCCCTTTTGTATGTATATCTATCATTTCGTCTCATTAACTTTTATTTTTATTTTCAGTTACTACCCCAAGCACTGTTGCAACACCTTCAGGTATATTTTTACAGATATTTAATGAAATCGGTCATTTTTTTTATATTTCAATTTTGCTAGAAAAACAAAATCATGTTACAAACGTTATTTGAAATCTTTCAGATTTGCTCTGGTTAATACCTTGTTTTCTCTAAAGTTGTATATATATATATATATATTTATATATTATATTTATAATTAAGATCCATTTATTACATCGGGGATCCGTTTATTTGGCAATCGCCAATGGCAGTCAGCAGGGTTTAAGAACATTTGTTGTTCGACCTGTTAGTCAAATGCGTTTTGTTAAAATATACTTTTTCACGTTTTTTGGAAAATGTTGTTTGTGCTGTATTTAGGCCCCTCTAACAAGAAATTTGTTTTGCATGCACACGTATAAAAATGGCGGTTTTTATCCAACGCAATCATAGGTTTGAACGTTGTTTTCAATTTAGACTTGTTTATATATATATATATATATGCCTTCGGGTTTATATGATCCGTTCATCCATATCCGGATTTCGATAATTAATGTCTCTTCAGTGATGTTAGAAATCGAAACGGTATTTGGAAGGCCGTATAATTTATCTCAATTTAGTATAGCCTCTTGAATTTTGAAGAGTCGAAATAGGATGAACGGATTATATAAACCCGAAGGCAAATATAATACAAGCCCAAACGAAAAAATATAAACAAGTCTAAATTGAAAACAACGTTCAAACCTATGATTGCGTTGGATAAAAACCGCAATTTTTATATGTGTGCATGCAAAACAAATTTCTTGGTAGAGGGGTCGAAATACAGCACAAAGAACATTTTCCAAAAGACCAAAATAATGAAAAAGTATATTTTAACCAAACGTATTTGACTAGCAGGTCGAACAACGGATGTTCTTAAACCCTGCTGACTGCCATGGCGATTGCCAAATAAACGGATATATATATATCTAGTGATGGGCTTGTATTATTTTTGCCTTCGGGTTTATATGATCCGTTCATCCTATTTCGACTCTTCAAAATTCAAGAGTCTATCCTAAATTGAGGTAAATTATATGGCCTTCCAAATACTGTTTCGATTCCTAACATCACTGAAGAGACATTAATTGTCGAAATCCGGATATGGTGTACAAATTTTTGCACCTCATGTTTGCGGTATACCACCTTTTCCGCAAGTTTATTGTTTTCTGTTTGGTATTAAATTAATAATAAAGATCCGTTTTGTTACATCTTGTGATCCGTTTATTTGGCAATCGCCAATGGCAGTCATCATGGTTTAAGAACATCCGTTGTTCGACCTGTTAGTCAAATGCGTTTTGTTTAAATGTACTTTTTCACTTCTTTAGTCTTTTGGAAAATGATGTTTGTGCTGTATTTAGACCCCTCTACAAAGAAATTTGTTTTGCATGCACATGTATAAAAATTGCGGTTTTTATCCAACGCAATCATAGGTTTGAACGTTGTTTTCAATTTAGACTTATATATATATATATATATATATATAGATTGCCTAACAATGTAATTTTAACACACTATTTAGTATGTAAATATAAGAATGTTTAAAATATTTACAAAATGATGAAAATAAACGCAATATTTCGCTAGACTAACTAGCTTTATCAAGCGTGCATCTATCCAGGTGAAATCGGATGTAGATGATAAGAAACTTTTGCAGCTCAATGTATATGTTGCACTTGAATTTAGCTGCCTTGAAGATAATACATAATTTGGATGAAGTTCAAGATTTTTACAAAATTGGTAGTTGAAGTTAGCAACGTCCATTGGCCAATATTACAGGATAAAAAGGACAATGCTGTGTACTAAATTATTCTTTATCTTTCCTGTATCTTTTCTCATCTTTTTCGTTAAGACCATCAGGTTCTAAAGTGTGGAGTTGGTGGATCCAAAAATTTTCTCTCCTCCTTCTCGCCGTGGTGTCCCACTCGGTGTTGACTTCTATGATTTGGAAGGTAACATTATCAAAAGAATGTTTCGTTGAACGAAGATGTCTTGTGAGAGGACAGTTTTTGTTGGTTTTGTACCATGAACGATGGTTATTGAGCCGAATATTAAATTTGTCCATTGTTTCTCCCACATACTGAATGCCACATGTGTCACATGTTAATATATAAATTGAGTTCTCCGTTTTACAGTTGGAATTTGAGTAGATGGTATAATTTTGTTTAGTAACGGAGCTGATCCACCAACTCCACACTTTAGAACCTGATGGTCTTAACGAAAAAGATGAGAAAAGATACAGGAAAGATAAAGAATAATTTAGTACACAGCATTGTCCTTTTTATCCTGTAATATTGGCCAATGGACGTTGCTAACTTCAACTACCAATTTTGTAAAAATCTTGAACTTCATCCAAATTATGTATTATTTTCAAGGCAGCTAAATTCAAGTGCAACATATACATTGAGCTGCAAAAGTTTCTTATCATCTACATCCGATTTCACCTGGATAGATGCACGCTTGATAAAGCTAGTTAGTCTAGCGAAATATTGCGTTTATTTTCATCATTTTGTAAATATTTTAAACATTCTTATATTTACATACTAAATAGTGTGTTAAAATTACATTGTTAGGCAATCTATAATTTTATTTGTGTAATTGAATTAATCTCTGTACTGATTAATCCACACTCCCATAGATTTGTATGTCATGTGCTGCTATTTATAGGCACTTATATATATATATATATATATAGATTGCCTAACAATGTAATTTTAACACACTATTTAGTATGTAAATATAAGAATGTTTAAAATATTTACAAAATGATGAAAATAAACGCAATATTTCGCTAGACTAACTGGCTTTATCAAGCGTGCATCTATCCAGGTGAAATCGGATGTAGATGATAAGAAACTTTTGCAGCTCAATGTATATGTTGCACTTGAATTTAGCTGCCTTGAAAATAATACATAATTTGGATGAAGTTCAAGATTTTTACAAAATTGGTAGTTGAATATATATATATATATGTTGACGGTTTTTGTCTTGCTTTATATGTCTCTTATCAAAGAATAAGTATGATTATGTGGATAATAGAAGTTGAACACCACATAAAGTAATCATTAAAGAGAAAAAATATATAGGACATTCGGTTCATTCTTGTTATTGTACAAAAATAAAAAAATAACTTTGCGTCATTCATTGTTACCCTATCAGAATGGTTTTGTGTAAACTTGAAAATATTACATGAATTGCTGTAGAATTAAAAGTTTTGAATAAAAAAAAAAACGAGTTTATGCCGATATCCAGTTGAAATTAACTTATTGATGGAAACACTGTTGGCCTGTATTTGCCCAAGTTGGTATATATATGCCATGTGTTGTTCTTTGTCTTTGTCGTTTATTTTTTCATGACTAGGTTTTTCTTTTAAATAATAGTTTGTTTTTATTACAGTTAAAAAATTGTTTGTCCTGAGAGAACTTTTAAAAACTCATCCTCACCAAAATTAACGAATGACTGGTGCTTAAATGATTTTTTAGAGCTATTATTTTAAAACATCATTTACCTTTAATGGACACCTTTGTTTGATTCAAGCAAATAAATGTTTCATGGAAGACAGTTTTAAAATAATAATTCCAGTAGGATCTGGTTCATAATATTTTGACGGGATTTGACACTCGACAGTCATATCTATGTCATTGTCGGGTTAGTTAATTACCGATATGATACAGAAACGGAGATGTGTCAAATTACGTAATCACTATTAATGCCGATAGTTTACGGCTTTTTCGTATCGACTTGTATAATTCATACCAGTATCAAAATATTGGTGTTTCGTATGATATAAGATTATATAAATTAAGAAATATTTAAATTTGGAATACTAAAGTTAATTAAATGAAATACGGGAAATATTTTGTAAGAGAAACATCTGCACTTAAACATCAGTAGATTCTTCTTTCATAATTTCTTTCCTCTTTTATCAACAAGGATTTATACAAATCCTTGATCTCAATTAGTTAGTACACTATTCCCAGGTAGAATTTATTATATTACTTTTTAACACAGAACCCAACGTATTGTTTTTTTTTCAGTAACAACATCAGTAACAACTACTTCACCATCAGGTAACTTACTTGTCACATAATTTATACTTAGCATACATACATGAAGTTAAATATAGACACTTAAATTATTCCATGTTAACAAATATGATTTTGACTTTAGTGTTGAGATCAATACAAAATTATTTCAAGATACGTGTACAATTAATGCCATAGTAGTTTACTAATGTTCAAATCTCGTAAATCCAATGATACTATATAAATCATTCGTAAATCGTGAAAGAAGAGACAAATCAAGATAACAAACAAAAACTGATGGAACCGCATGAATACCTAAAACAGATTATTTACGGACACATCCAATCAGAATTGACAGAGAAATTCATTTCTTTTGTGTTTTAATCAAACGCAGATTCCGAATCTAAATTAGTGGGGCACTACGCTGGGGATATCAAAATTTCTGTAATTCGAAAGTCTAGCGTTTAAGAAGGAGCCAACGCAATCAAACATGCCTAAACAAAGAAACCACATAAACCTCAAATTGAATTAAGGAAGTATTCAACCTCGTTTTGACAGTACAAGATTTTTCTGACTCTTTCAGTAATAGTTTTGGTTTGTGACCTTGAGGACGCCTAACTATATATGGTAACGTCATTCATGATATTACCAATCTTTTACTCTGATCGGACGAAATTACGGAATTGAACAAAAACCAACAAAAAAAAGATATATGCTACAATAAAAGTAAAACATTACGGACATAAATAAAGCTTAATTCAAAAATGAAATTATCCAGATAAATAGAATAAATTCAGGTAAAGAAGGTGTCATTATTACCACTGTCAAATTGTTTGGAGTTTGTACGCTTAGCCTTTAATACATGAGCAGGTAAATATCAATGACAGGTTCATTACACCTACAAGTTATCCAGATACATAGAATAAATTCAGGTAAAGAAGGTGTCATTATCACCACTGTCAAATTGTTTGGATTTTGTATGGTTAGCCTTTAATACATGAGCAGGTAAATATCAATGACAGGTTTATTACATCTACAGTTGAAGATAATGCTGGCCAATTTGGCTATTAATAGCTCGAGTGCTATAACTATATTTTATTGAATTTGTATACTTGCAAGTGCAGTCTAAAACCTCTTAGGCTTAATATCAATCTCAGAGAGTATAAAATATTATACGTTAGAATAAGATTGTCAAAATATCGCAAATTAAATTACTTGTCAAAGATGTATTATATAGTTCATCTCCCGTTGTCGTCCGTCCGTCCCCGAAATACACACCGAAATAGGTGGTATCTCTAATTGTTAAAGTTGTGCTTGACAAATAGTTATAATTGAAATTTCTTCATGGTTCTAAACTGTTTCAAGTTTGTTATGCATTACAAATTGCAACCTAATAATATCTTATGTTATGTCTTTTTCACAGCTAGGTTCTTCTTTATCTTTGAAAACATACCTATATATATCTTTATTTGAGTACCAGTATATATTTCAATTCTTGAAAAAAACAGCGCATATATACTAAACGTTCAGAATCGTCAGGCTTTAGCCTTCATACTGTGTGCAACTTTTAAACTATGTTAATAATAAAAACACAATAAGAATGTATGATTTGTTTTAAACTCTACGCTCACATCTGAATGCGTCAGATATCTTTTAGATAGTACTTGATTAATAATATATTTGTTGTCTCGTATTTTTGACATTGAACCTACATTTGAGCTGCGTCGGATAGAAATCGACCTTATGCAAGTGCACATATACATGGACATGTATAAGACTTTGATTGATTTTGGAACATTCAAATGCGAAATGAAAGATGAATGTTGGTCTGTGTTTTTTTTTTTGGTTCTTATAACAACTTAATTTTCAAACAGTTACAGGTGTTTCAACTACCCCAGGTACAGAGCCGACAACTGAAGCTACAAAACAATCTACAACTTCAACCTCATCAACATCTGCTACAGAGAAAACAACAACAGTTTCAACGACATATGTTCCAACTGAAACTACGACAGGTTCATCTATGAGTAGTCCCCAAGTTACTTCAACGACACTAACAATGACACCATTCACTACTGGATCAACAGGTAACCCCATTTTATTTAATCAAAAGAACATTATCACAAGTTCCAAGCATTCGTTCCATTGGTCAATATAGAAAAGCGTTTGATTTTGTCAGGTTTATGGTTTTTAATTTACCTTGCAGTTCGGTATTTTTGGTAATACTTTTTTAAAGCACCGTCTTGGGGGTAAGGGGTTGGAATTTAGCTCTCAGAAACAGTGAGATATACTGTGGTTTTTATTTTTGTACAACGTAAAGACCACTATCTATATTTTTTCAGTCACCACAACAGTAACAGTAACCTTATCAACAACAGTTCCAGGTACGTACTATATTAATGATTATGATAGTTATAATAATAATAATAATAATAATAATAATAATGATAATAATAATTATAAAGATAATAATAAGACAAGTGTTGCTACTTATACTCTTTGCATATATTATTTCTACTTATACCAAACTTAATATTAAGTGAAAAGCATTTTCATCCTCACAAAATTCATAAAATAGATAGGAAACATGTTTGGATATTAGCTGTAATATAAAATATTTCTGTAATTTATTTTAGAACAATGTATATTTACCAAAGAAATCTTCCAAGACAAATTTGGATATGACACAACTAAAGTTATAGGTTACATAGAAAAAGATGGAAAGCCAGGTTTTACATCAACATCGGAAGGGGTTAACATTGGTGATATCTTACAAATTGGAACAGTTGTTAATGCTCCCGATTGCACTAATTGGTAAGTCAATATATAATCGTTAATATGAAAGTCTGTATTGTTTCACAAAGTACAATTCACAGATACTATAAAAAGTGTACCTGAAATAAAACTGTACTTACTGGACATATAGGTCAACAAAAAACACAAACTAGGATTAACAAAAATAAAAAACTTGAGCAATACCAAAATATCTATTTATCTAAAAGTTATGCGTAAGTGTTAAAGTTGTGAAGTAGATATCATATTCACTATAGTAAAGGCTTTACTTTTTTGTAAACATACAAAGCATTGTTATTGAAAAGTCTTTCTATGTAAAAATTATAACCCATTAGGCTTTTGAAATTATGTTATTTTACTATATCAATGAGTTAGTTTCATCTTATCTTTGGGATTCTCTTTGCAATGCAGGTCATAAGAACTGGAAATAATTAATTGCAAAAGCATTTTTAAATACAGTAACACCAAATTGCACATTGAATGTTTTATTTCTTTTTCTTATATTAGTACTTGTACAGAAGGTGGATATATTGAATGTGTAACTGGATCTTGTCAATGTAAGTTTTATTGCTAATGAATAATGTTTATATTATGTAAGTGGTTTTAGCAACAAAAAATTATATGATCAGTTCAAACTCGTCAATATTACAACCATCAACTTCATTTATGACAACCCTTTTGATTTGAAATTTAATTTCCTTATGCATATTGATTACAGTTCGTATGTTTTCAAGTAAGGAACACTTAAAAACAGATTTATTTACAAATGACATGATAACATTTTATATCTTACTTTGGTCAGATTGTGAATACAGTGACTGGTCTGAATGGACAGAGTGTTCTAAACCATGTGACAATGGTGGCAAGTCTAGGAATAGAACTGCAGTAACTATTCGTCCTGAGTGTAACAACCTGACAGAAATAGTGGATTGTAACACTCATCTTTGTCCTTTTACAAGTAAGATTTTGAAAGTCATAATTCTAACGAATAGATATAGAATAGTTTTTAAAACTTTATAATTAGTTTCTGTTATTTGAATAATATTTTCAGTTTTTTTTAGTTTATTACATATAAGGTCCAAGGTAATACGTTAACAGTGATTTAGTAAATAATTTATATATGTATATATAGAACAAAAACTACAAAACTTGTTATACAAGATTGATATGAAGATTAATATGCAAGCTGTCTACAAGAAAATAATAAATATATCATAAAATTGTCAACTTTTTCAGCAACAACACCTTATTGTGAAACTTGGAGCGAGTGGTCCGATTGTAGTAGTCAAAATTGTGAACAAGGACAAAGAACAAGACAGAGGAAATGTCCAGATGTAAAAACAGAGGATGAGCCATGTATAGGAGAAAATGTCAATTGTAAGAAAACAACACCTATAAGTTTACCTTTAATGGAAATGAAAGATATATTTGTGAGATTTCTGAATACTTTTGTACACAAAATCATATTGTTAAGAGGTGTGAAGGCATAGCTTCAGAAACATTTCGACTAAATCCTAAATGTTTTGAACTTTGTGTCCGTTTTGTAGGGAAAAGTACAGAACATTTATTAAAATCATATTTAATTTTAGTTTTCTAATTGATTCCTGATTATAAAAGTATTTATTACTCCACAGGTCTAAACTGTCCATTTTCTCAAACAAAGAGGAACATGTCTAAAAGGGTGAAGGTTTGGTACCATTAAAACGTTTAAACCCGCTGCATTTGTTTGCACCTGTCCTAAGTCAGGAATCTGATGTTCAGTAGTGGTCGTTTGTTGATGTGGTTCATAAGTGTTTCTCGTTTCTCGTTTTTTATATGGATTAGACCGTTGGTTTCCCCGTTTGAATGGTTTTACACTAGTAATTTTTGGGGCCCTTTATAGCTTACTGTTCGGTGTGAGCCAAGGCTCCGTTTTGAAGACCGTACTTTGATCTATAATGGTTTACTTTTACAAATTTTGACTTGGATGGAGAGTTGTCTCATTGGCACTCATACCACATCTTCTTATATCTACTTGAAGACAAATTTGTAAATAGATGACTATTATAAATAATGAACCTTCTTCTTCAGGCACTACCACACCTTGTGTACCTCCTCTTGTAATGAAGGAATGTGTAAAACAATGTCCAGGAACATGCAAAGCACTTAGAATGAATACATGTACAGAACCAGATGATTGTGAACCTGGCTGTGGATGTCCTGCTGGAGAAGTAATGGATGATAATGCAAACTGTGTTAAAGAAGAAGAATGTCCATGTTATAATATCAATGGTGTTATTATCCATGAAAACTTTACAGTTAACAAAGAAGGCAGTCCATGTGAAGAATGGTAATATAAACAGTATAAGATATTTTTTAAATAAATTCAAAATCAATTAAATCCATGGTCTGGCCGACCTGTTTTATTGCTGTTCTATGATGAAATCTGTATTCAGATTTTGTTTTAAATTAGATAATTCTTAACAAAGAATTCTTTTCTTGAAATTTGACTGTGTTGTGTTGAAATTTCTCCAAGACATAATAAACAACGATTACCATAACCAAGTTACATTCTACACGAAAATGTCAGATCATCATTTATTCAATATGTTGTTTTGAATATTTCTTTTTATTTATCATCATACATTGTCAAATGTATTTTTAATTTTTCAGCAAATGTTCCATGGGAAGTATAACATGCTATGACAAACCTGACTGTAAGTACTAACCTATGGGATATATGTTCAACTTAATTGTTTTCAATTCTGTTTGGTATCAAACAAATGTTAAATGCATGTGCTGTTATAGCCCTTCATATAATTGGGTCTAGAAAATCATAAAAATGAATGTACACCTTATTTATTCCCTATTCATCATTCTTCCTCCGGTTACTTCAACTACACAGCTTAGCAGTTTACAAGTTTGCAATTGTCTAATATCTAAAAATGTCTAAAACATCCACGCTGCCTTTTTCCTAATTAGGGGATGTGGATATGTCGGTTTGTTTATGCTTAGGTTGCCCAAGTATGATTATCAATGATACCGCTGTTCACCAGAGACCAAATGATAATAAGGTCTCGCTAAACTTTATTAAATAAGAGGCAAAATAAAAACCAAAGGGATACTCAAACTCATAAATCATTTACAATCAGGAGAAGAAAAAAACGACCAAAAATGTAATTTAGTCACATGTTCAAAAATACATCAAAATTTTAAAGCGGTATTAGCTGTCAAATTCAGGTTCACCGTTTCGACTCAGAATATCATAACATACTTAAACGTCTATCCAAATTAAAAAAAGTTCATAAAGAAAAAAATTACAATGTATGGACTCGTTATAATGTATCAACAGTTCGTGTGTATTTTATGACAGACGCAATATAATTAACCATCGAAGAACTCCGTAGGTCATATGAACTGATGTTAACATAAATATAAATAACCAGGAAAGTACGTGCAATCATATAATGACGATTTTTCTGAGTTTGTTGGATTTCATGCATAGATTAACAAAATATGTAAATAATCGTTTTACCTATATTTGAATGTTTTTTTTGTGGGCAGAATCAATCAACGAAAGGGATCTTCCCGGTGGCTGCCTTGTTTCATTTTTTAAATATGACATTCTTTTCTTTTTAATAACTGAACATGCTTAGCCCCTGCGTAGACCCAGTGCAAGTCAATAATACATTAGCGATGTTTTTGAGCTTATTTTGACAACAGTGATCCAAAAATTGACTGCTAATAGCGAAATGTTATTTCACAATTTCGCTTTTATAAATGTTTGAAGAACAAACAATCTTACACAGTTTAATATATGATGCTGTGAATTCTGAAAATAAAATTGAAGGACTATGAAATAAATTCATAGGAAACTTGGCTTACCTTTTTATTAATATTTGCTTTGAGAAAAGAAAAGCTCAGGGAATGAAGCTTTTTTCCTCTTTCTCATTTGTAAAATTGAAAAATAAATTTTGATATAATATATATGTAACACTCAGAAACGTGTCCATCCTCCTAAACGTGTTCGATTCCCCTAAACATGTCCATATGACGTCACTGAACTGCAAAACATTTCTAGTTGCAGATGGTCGCCAAAGGGTGTCCTCTTTATGTACGCTCAAACGTGTCCATTTAAAATAAAAAACGCGTGTCCAATCCCCAAAACGTGTTCATGTGAGGCCAGAACGTCTCCCTTTTATGAACGCTCAATCGTGTCCATATTTATAAACACCCGGCAAACGTGTCGATCCTTATTAAACAGTGATTCGTAGATACAAATCCAATCGATATTATAACAGGAACCTGAGTTTTGTTTTGTTGTTGTAAAAATGGGACAGTAACAAAAAATGTACTCTTTAAAAGCACAGACACCACTTATGTAAGAAGTAGGCCGTGCAATACTCTCGTATATTATTAAGAAATTTAGGCATCACTGGAGTATATTAGTACAACGAATTAATTCAGTTAACGATGAATTTAACTATGCAAAACTAATTAATTGCTATTTTTATGTTCGATCTAAATATGCATGACATATTTGCCACTGGACATTAAGCAATCAACAGTCAAAATTTAATTTATGTGTTTCCAATTAACTTGCAATCATGCTAAATATTAATAACCAGCACTGGGCAAATGTTTTTGATTTCTTAAGTGTGAAGTACCTCCATTTAAAATTTACAACATAAATTATCATATCATTGATAAAAAAAACAAAAAACCACTGCAAGTAAAAATTAATGTTTATTCTGCCATTTTATTTTCTTATCTGGTATCTGTTTATTTGAAAGTCAATGATTTCATCTTTCACTGTGGATAGTGTACCATGTCTTGGACATTTGTCTGTACGCCTCACTGCACCTTTCTTCCAGAAGTCCTTGGATGGCGGCTTTGTTTTTTTTACAATCCTGCAACTAAAACCCGACGTTTTCAGTCGTGTCCCCATCATTGAATTTCCGTAAACGTTATTGACGTTACTGAGGACATATTATCGCCAAAAGTTTTGAGACGTTCTAGCGTTTTAAAGTGGACACGTTTTGGCGAATAACAATTATCAGACACGGCGTTTGGGGGATGTGAAATCGGACACTTGTGGGCGATTTGGGATTTTAAGGACACGTTTGGGCGAAATATACACGTTTGAGGGAATCGGAGTTGAGTATTTGATGTGTAAATCACGTGTTTTTAAATTAAACGGATACACGTCATTATTTTCCCTGTGAGCCTCTGTGTTTTGTATAGCTGAAGACTACGTCACATAGTAATGTTCGTTATGATGACGTTGCTGAGGTTCCAATTGGGGTGAAAAACGTCGTATATACCTCGGCAGTTTCCTGAATATATACTGACATATCTGTGTTGTTATCCAATCACAAAACTCGACACATATGTAATCCGTAATATATATATATATAGGTTCATGCAATATATGTATATACAATTTTTTACTATAATTCATCAATATAAAAAAAATCGTTATTGAAGGCTTGTACAATTAGGAAAATTTTGAAGCAAAAATGTGTAAAGCAGTCTATAGTGCATGTTTTACTCCTCTTTTTTTATATCTTGGACAGCCTGTTGTTAAGATTTCAAGATCCCATTTACTCATATACACAGTTTAAAAACCCTGAACCACGTAAAACAATAAGATATGTCTAAATGGAAAATAATTTCGTTTAAATCGAATTTTGGACCTCTAATCTCGCCAGGGCATGCATTTTTTTATATTGATACAATGAGAGAAAGATAAAACTTTTAAAATCCTTTTGAATTTAAAAGGAAATAACACCTTATTTTAACAATAATATATCAGATAAAATTAACCTATGTCAAAGGCATACTGCACGTAGAATGTAATGTTTTGTAATTGCTATACCGATGAAAATAAGTGATTTGATTATCATCTGTAAACTAGGTTGTGACTGGGCACAGTGGACGTCATGGGGTTCATGTTCATCATCATGTGAAGAGGGAGTTCGATACAGACACAGGTTAGAACTATCATCTATTTGATATTGCTTTAAGACAGCTATTAGAACTATATTTGCACTGTTTTCCATACCATTAAGTAAAATATTATATCCTATATGTATTTTAGTATTGTTTTTTATTAATCAAATAAGTCAGAAAAACAATTTAATCAGTCTCCTTCAAGAAATGGGACAATGTTAGTTCAAAAAGTAATTTTGATTAATTGATAGTAGGGAAAATGGACTTGAGTCGTGCATACACTTTAGCAAAAAACCACAGGTTTAAAAAAAGGAAAAATAAAAACAACACTTCATCAATTGTATGCGTCTGATACCTTTTCTGGATTTACCTTCATCAGGAACTCTCAAATCCGAATAATTGAAAGCCAAGGATATATAAGAACCGAAACAGTTGAAGAGCTTTAGGAATAAAAAGGACCTCAAAATAATAGCCAAATCCATTTACTTTGCCTGAGGGATTAAATATTACTATGTTTTGCTATAAGCAGTACAAAAGAAAATATTCAGTACAATCTAGTTTGTTATAACTGGTAAACAGCAATGTAATTGGTTATACAGATTTTCTTCAATTTTAATTTTTATTTATTGTTTGATTTCTCATGTTTTTACTTGTTATTTATAGGTCACTTAAAATTGGCCAGTTAGAAAACTGTGGAACAAATATGGAGACTGAGAAATGTCCCGAACCTGTTCCGATACCCGATACTTGTGTTGAGTGTTTGATTGAAGGGAAACCATACTCTAATGGTCAGGTGATCCCGGATAGAGGAGGAGATTGTAGTACATGGTAATATTTAGACAGAAATACACTAGACTTTCTCTTGGAAGTTTGCTGAGTTAAAATTGTATTAATTCTAGTTAAATTAAATTTTAAAGTCTTTCCTAGATATCTCATGCATAAAAAAATTTAGGAGCGATTGATTGAAAGTTAGTGTTTAACGCCACTTTCAGCGCTATTGATTATCTCTTGGCGGCTAGTTTTTATTGGTGGAGGAAGACGGAGTGCCTGGAGAGAACCACCGACCTTCAGCAGTTTTGGGAATAACATATAGAAGCACCATAAATAGAATATACTATGCAATGAATCATATGTCAACACAAATGTCAATGTAAACTTGATAGTGGAAAAAAACTCATGTTTTCATTATATTAGGTATGTGTAAAGTTAATCGATTAGTTGGTAAACGAATAAGCATCAACCCATAAGTTTAAAACAAAACTATTTTACACTATCGAGAGTTTACTTCAGTCGTTTACTGTTTTTATATATCTTTCATATTATTTCAGTTACTGTACGAATATGCAAGAAATCTGTTTGCCTGACTCATCAAAAAATGGTTAGTACTTTATTAATTAAAATTTACATTTGTAAATGCTGTATGTTTATTGATATTTCATATTTCAAACATGTGCTTGTACGATAAGTTGAATATGTTAATTTATAAGTCTCTATAAGTTATCATTGGCGATACAAATATCTTTCCTGTAATGACATATTATTAAAGATAAATTTCTTCATTCTCTTTAGTTGATGGAGCCTGGTCACTATGGTCTGAATGGGGTCAATGTTCTAGAACATGTGAAGGTGGTGAGCGTGTCCGTACCAGAGGTTGTAATGATCCAGTACCTATGTGTAATGGAGGCAAATGCCCAGGAAATAATACAGAGGTGGAACAGTGCAACAATGATGTGCCATGTAAGGAGATCGTCTAAATTAAGTTTGGCAATAAATGGTGTATATACATCTTTTCCATACTACAATTATAATAAATGCTCCAGAAGGTAGCGTAGATTTCAAAATGTTTTTTTATCATCTGTTCATAAAGTCCATTGTGCTTTCAAAATTAAACAGAAAACAATTGTTGTATTCCATATGTTTATGTTATATTTTATTGAACTTAATTTTTCATAATTATATAGCTATAGGTATAAAAGTAATAAATTAAATAATTATCCTTTGTTACTATTAACTAAAATTCAAAACATTAAGTTTGCGGCTTTAATTATAGAATGATGCAGTGTCATTGACTATGGGAAAATAGTAGCCAAGATTGAAGAAAAATATCGCATAAGCCGTCAGTTTAAAGTGCATTTGTTGATTTACCTTGACTAAGAATGCTCAAATCTAAGCATTTATAAAAGCCAATCCATATGAATATGTAGGGAGTTAATATAGCATAGAGGTTAATTGATGGATATGTATTTGTTACGCTACTCTTAGGTGCAATAAGTAAATAGAATCTATAATATTGGTACTTACCAATTCTTTCTGTTTGATAAAAAGAGTCAAAAACAGAACAGAAAATAAAGTATAGAGTAAAGAAATTGGCATTTCAAACTTATATTTACATCATAAAATATTAAAGTCTAGAAAAGATTTCAATGACATAAAAAGCTTTTTCTATTAAATTAATATAAATTTTGAGACATTTGTTTGTGATTTGCTATCATCAGGAAAGAGAAATACAGGTGTTAGTTAGTATATTTTTTTAAATCTTTTCAGGTTGTCAGGTATCACAGTGGACTGAATGGGGACAATGCACTGTTACCTGTGGAGAGGGTAACCAAATTCGACAACGAAGCTATGTAAATTCTTCTGATGAAATGTTATGTCCACCGCTTGACAAAATCGATTCACAACCATGTAATGCCGGCAGCTGTAAGTTTATTTGATATTATTGTTTCAGGCACAACCATGTAATTCCGGCAGTTGTAAGTGTATTAGATATTCAAAAATCATAAGTGGAAGATAAAATAATGACTGAGCCATATGATCCCCACCGGTGCTGATCAATACATCTATTATATCAACATCTTAAACTGTAATTGCTTTAACACTAAGGACATATTCACTTTTTCTCGTCAATGGAAAATCAGAATTCCCATCTATTTCTCATAGTACATGGCTTTCCATCCACTATCAAATGCTATACGTGAATGACTATGGAGGTGGATTTGGTCCCTTTTGGTAATGTACCTCCTCATGGTTTCAAGTATTTATACATCCTTGGTTTGTACACTTAAGTGGGATTAGTATTTATTTAGCAGAAGGTGCCCATGCAGTTAACACTTGGTTTAGACAGGGTTAACTGTATCATAGCACAGTTTAATACGTTTGTTAATCATTACATAATCCTGGAATTTGTTCTTTTTTAAGGTACATGTGTATATGATGAGTGGTCTGATTGGTCTGACTGCACTGCTTCTTGTGGATTAGGACTCAAAGACAGAAGCAAAACCCTACAGGAACCAAATGCCAAATGTAATTCAACTATAAGGGATGTTACAGTGTGTTATCAGCAGGATTGTTGTAAGTAGTGAAGGATTACCTTTAATATGGTTATCATTTAGTAATAAAGTTTATAAGCGTTAAGCGCTTACAAACATGTTTAATCCCGCCACAATCTGCATGATCATCTCCAAGTCATGAGCCAGTAATTCAGTGATTGTCGTTGTTCGCTGTCTGTTATTCTTTTATTGTTTTGTCATTAATCATACCGTTAGTTTTTTTCTTTCAACTTGTTTCACATTTTGCCATATCGGTGCCGTTTATAGTTAACTATACAGTATGGGTTTTGCTCATTGTTGAAGGCCGTACGGTGACCCATAATTTCTAAAAGCCACGTCATTTGGACTTTCTAAATATTTTTCTAATTGACAACCATAGCTCATTATTTTTATAGGGAGTTTATTAGTTTAAAAATTCTACCAATCACTCAAACAAGTCTGTAGGACTTTATAATACATTATTATATAAATAGGGTAACAGGAATTGCAAAACTAGTTAGACAGTTCAACAAAACCACACACCATTTTCTTTGGTTGCCATAATGCTCATCAAGAAATTATCTTAAAATGTTAGATATGAATTATCACATAAACCAAAAATGTTTTAGCTTTTCTCTGTTATATTTTTAACAATTTAATAGACAGGTGTGATACTAGACAGAAATAAAACATTTGTCTTTTAATGTGTAATATAGATTCTACTCTGGTTACTGTGTGCATCTAAGAAGTCATTTGTCATATATGAAACCATACTATTGTTTTTTGTATGTTGTAAAAAAGTATCTTAACAGACATAGACCATAATCAATTTTGCATTCATATTGTCAAAAATTGACAACATGATCTTTATATCCAAATTATTCAAAAGCAATTTTCATTTCCTGTCTAATCATGCCATATTTTGGTCGAATGTTTCAGAGTATGATACAAAATCGTTTGTACTGCTAAATATTATGAAAACAATTACCTTAGATATGCAAACTCTATAGCTAACAAGCTTTCTTTGTTAGCTCCATTGTATAATCAATATGTCCTGTGGGATGATCCATTTCTAAAATTGCTCTTCCAAAACATTAAAAGGAAATTTTATACTATTTCATATAATAACTAACTACAAAAATTATTAAACAAAATAATAAAGGAATAATAATCATATAAACTGGCAAAAAGTTGCACAACTGTATATACAAAAATGCAAATATTGTTTATCGTAATTAAGCTTAACTTCAATCTATTTTTATAATAATGCAGGACACCTATTGAAATGAAAATGCATTAAATTAACACCATCAATAAGTAGTAAAAACAGAACCAGAAAGTTCTAATAAATTTACTTCTTAATTTAGTATGCGATAAAGATCATCAACAATGGACAAACTACTCTTATTGTCAGAAGACATGTGCTAATCGCCATTTGCCTGAATCAGACATGTGTAGTGAAGAAGAGCAGGGATGTATCTGTAAGGAAGGTTATTTCCTCAACTATAACGATGTTTGTGTCTTGGAGGAACAGTGTGTGTGCAATACATCTATCGGTGTCAAGGAGGTAACATTAATGCAAGCTTTCAATTATTTGATTAAGTTTTGTTGTGCTATACAAAATATGTAATATTATGATTTAATTTTCATTGTGATTATCGCTTGAAATTGTTGTTAACCCATATGTTTTACTTAAGTCCAAAATCTCAATTGAATTTTTTAGAAATATTAAAGGTAATATTCTGTTGACTTACTTACAAAACTTGTATTTTAGAATGGTGAATCGTGGACTAATCCTGAAAATAAATGTGAACAGTGTGAATGTGTGGACTCTCAGATCAAATGTTACAGAAAATGCCAGGAAATCACATCATGTTTACCTGTAAGTCAGTCTATTTTGAGATTCAAAGTTCACTTGTGAATATCCTGAGGTTCAAAAGTGCTTGTATCATTTACCTGCTTGTTAGTCTTATATTCTCTAATACAGCTGTGTAATATTAAGTCAAAAGGACATTAACTAAAAGTTTTATGGTATTATTTTTCTATGTATGCCAGATTGGCGGCCTTATTTGATTATGCTTGTGATTTAATGAATCACAGTTTCATATGGCGTTAAAAATTAAGATTAAAACTTACTAATTTCGTGCGTTCGAATCGCTTCTCCGGATTACCTTCATCAGAAACGCTCCAACCAAAACATTTGAAAGATAAGTATATATAAGACCAAAACACACAGAGAGTTATTTATATAACCGAAAGGGACCTAAAAAATAGGAAAATTCATCTAAGGTCAACTTTGCCTGAAGGAGTTAAAACTTTAGTATCTTAATAATTTCTTTACTCATCAAAGGAGAATTTACAAAAAGAATGTTGTAAATCATGTCAGTACCAAAGAGTTTGAATAGTTTTACCTTTATTTGGGTTTGTGACTTTGATTCATTGTGGATTTGTTACTTCTGTATTCTTTTTTATTAAAGCTGGCAATGCTGGCTGTTTGGTTAATTCCTTAAAAGGCATTCTTCTGAAACAACTCACCACTAAGGAAGATCATTATAAGGTTTAGTCATGTAAAATAGGCTATATATACAATAATTGGGTTTTTTAACTTATTTTTTTCCAAAATGGAGAATCAGAATGAATAGTAGAAGATAGGAAAACATTAACGACATATTCAAGATGGAATATAGGAGTCTCTAACATTCCTGACTTAGTACTGAGACTTAAAAGTACGAGTAATTGGTTTAACTAGAATCTACAGTGCAGTCTATATTGTATTCATTTAAAGTTCTGTATAGCGGAATTTTCAAGACAAACATAAGTCATAAGTCATAAATTTACATATGATTTTCGATATCTACTTACAATGAAAGACAAAAACTAGCTTTGCACATGTGTATGCATCTGTCCTCAGTCAGGAGCCTGTTGCATGTTCAGTGGTTGTCGTTTGTTGATGTGGTGCATAAGTGTTTCTCGTTTCTCGTTTTATATATAGATTAGACCGTTGTTTTTCATGTTTGAATTGTTTTACACTAGTCATTTTGGGCCCCTTTATAGCTAGATGTTCGGTGTGAGCCAAGGCTCCGTGTTGAAGGCCGTACTTTGACCTATAATTGTTTACTTTTTACACATTGTGACTTGGATGGAGAGTTGTCTCATTGGCACTCATACCACATCTTCTTATTTCTATTAAATGTTTTATCTGAACTACTCAACTTGAAATTATCAGATATGAGTTAAGTAAATCTATATATAACTGACAAGATAAATCTTACATTTCAGGGTGAAGTTCTTGTTCCAGTCAGTGATTGCTGTTCAAGATGTGAAAAACCTAAAGGTATGTAATCATTGACTCAATAGCCTGTCTAATAGGACTCATTGTATATGATTTACATCAAACACTTGAATATGTTGTTATTGATAGCATTCACATAAGAAATTTTCTCTATATATTACATTTTAAGTTTTATGCAACTCAATTTGTTAATGGTGCCTTGGGTTAAAACCAGCACTTTAATTCAAGAAAGGAATGTAATCAGATACTGAGATACCATTCATTTGCAGCATTTTTGTGTGATTTTAAAGGAGGATTTCAGGGAAACCTTAGAGATTTAGCTGTTAATGTATTTCATAAAGTACAAGCAAAAGGTCATTGCTACATCGTCATTGCATGGGAAATCAAAATCAGCATAGTTATGGTATATAAATGATACATTTTACAGATACATGTCAGCTATACACAGAATCTAAACCACTGATAAGAGATGGCTGTGTGTCTGTTGACAATGTGACATATAATTATTGTTCTGGAGGATGTGGAGATAGCATCAATAAGCCAATGTTGCTGCCTGAAGGAATAGATTATGAAGAATCAATGAGTAAAGATTGTTCATGCTGTACTGGCAACATTAGAGGATATAACACTGTCCAAGTAAAGTGTGACCGAAAAAACGGCATCATTTCAGCAAGGATTCCAGTAATAGACAAGTGTGAATGCAACAAATGTGTATCAACAGGTACATAATTAATTGATGTAGTCTATTTATTGAATCAACATGCTTGACTATGTGATGGAATATTTATTGTTGTTTGCTGATGTCCAGAACAAAAATATCTCACATTTGTAGTATTGTACATTGTATCCTGGCTATTATTATTTTAATCAATATTTATTAAGAAAAATCATCACATCACAATATTATACACACGAAATAAAAATCTAGACGCAGGTTGATGTCGAAATCTGTCTCCTAGTATACAAAAAAATGACTTTCATCCACTTTTTACCATTAGCTGCTAAATATAAAGTTTGGATTTGTTTTACTGAACATCCATGTAACATTGCTTGTTATATGTTAGACTGAATATTCTGCCAATCTTGTAACGGTGAATAGTAGTTTAGATCATCCGTACCATGCCAGGTATCTTGGCTTATGAATGATAGGTTGTAATAAGGACCATACCTGAAATACATGTTTTTAAGTTAAGATTTTTAATTCGGACCATGTCAGAAACAGGTACTACCTAATATTTGGTTTGTTAATGCTGCTGTGCCTGTAATTTTGACTGTCGGATATTGAGCTTTGGTATTCTGACCATGCCTTAAATGTTGCTTGATGGTATACTAGACATGCCTATAATGTTGCTTGATATCTTCGTGATCTGTTACTATCTTTAAAATATCAGAAATATTAACTGATGAATATTGGGCATGTTAGCTTATCCTGAATAGTCTGGGTAAAATCATCTATAAGTGCTATATTACAATTTTGTCAATACATGTCTAAGGTTTTGTTTTAAATCATATTATTAGGTTTTTGGGTTTTTTGTTTCGTATCTTTAGGATCCTCTGTAACTAAGTTTCCAGAATGGGTCTTGGCTATTAATAACTCATTTTCATATCCTTTGCTTCTCGGTGGACAGTTGTCACATTGCTGTTACCAAATCTCACCACTTTTTTAAACAGTTATGCAAGCTAATTGAAATTGAGCAATCAATCAAAAAATGTGTATCAAACAAAGCCAAAAAGGCCAGTGTTCATTTGATCTGGAAATCACGATCTGTCTGACTGCATGACCATATTTAGATTTATAAAACGTTATGATGAAGTTTAGATATTTGAAAAAGTCGGAAAACAAATCCAGAGGCGGATTTAGAGGGTTTTTCAGGGGGCCCGCCCCACCCCTTTTTGGGAAATATTTGGTTGATTATATAGGGAATCACTGAAGCATGACTGGAGCGGGCTCCCTCTTAGAAAGTCAGAGTGCCCCCCCCCCCCCCCTTATGAAAATTTCTTGATCCGCCACTGCAATCGTTCTCACAAATACATTTAATAAAAGATTTGATACATCTAGGTGTTTATTTACAATATAAAGCTAACAAAGCTTGGTTTTAATATTTTCATTTCATTACTTTTTTCAGAGTACGAAAAAACGCAAAATTCGGCGACCAATACTATAGAAGAACGGAGACGATAGTAGAGTACCAGTCATTTGTTATTTGAATATCTGACTCTTTCCTCTGTTTTTAATGTTTTGTTAAATATGTGGTTGTTTATATGATTTTTTCTTTAAACTGTTATTAAACTTTTCTTGATACAAATGGTGTGTAGAATAAAATATGCTAAAATCATTTTAAAAGTTGATATGAACAAGACTAGAAACAATTAACCGTTGACACATACAGACAAAAACCCTGAGAAGAGTCCTTCAACTGTTGCTCCTCATATTGAATTCTTACTGATGCTTTCAACAACACCGAGCAGAAGCTCACTGCAAATTCAAAATCACCATTTGCACTGCTTTGATTCATTCTTTCTCGATATGTCTTTAACACTACACCTGTGCATACAAATCCTACACGGCTGTTGGGTAATAACTACAAATTAGCCGACTAAATCTGGCAAATACTTTCATAATTTGCACAACAATGTCAGTGTTAAATGCAAAACCAATACCAACATTTAAATCACGTTGGGGCTATAAAGATATTTTTATAAAACAGGAAATAAAGTAATACAACGGAAAATAAATCAAATGAACCACATACGTGTAACAATTTTGATAAACATAGACAGAAAGACATTCATACGGCAACTTTGTCAATGTAATGAAAAAGAAGGAAAATTTTGTTTTACTTAAGGTTCCGCTGAAACTAGTCGATGGTGTCCATTAGTAATATGCCTGTTTGACTGTTCATCTGTCCGTCTGCCCGTTTTGAAAGCACTTTTGTGTCGTGCTATAAGTCAAGATTGCCTCATCCGATTTTCATAATTTTATGCACAGTGTTTATGAATACTATTAAATCAAATCCCCTTTCAATAATGTAAATAACTAAATTAGGTACAAACTTATTTTTGTTAAATTTTAAAAAATGCAGAAGTTACCAATGGGGTATTCCAAACTCACAAGTTGAAGAGAAACTGATAACGCCAAGTAAAAAACGAAAAACCGACGATAAACAACATCAAAACACTACATAGAAAACTGAAGACCCGAACACGAACCCGTCGGAGGTGGTCTCATGTGCTCTGGAAGAGTTAGCAGATCTTGTTCCACATTTGACATTACTGAACAAACGAAATGCAATAAAAACTCACAGTTTATAAATCAAGTGTACGCATGCTGAAATGACACGCGTACTCTACTGATAACGATTGAATTTTTATGTTGATAGTCTTTACGACAAAGGTTTTCCTATCGGTAAAACGTAAAATGATATCACGGTCAAATGTACCTACCAGATGAACATGACCACCTTACAATCATTCCAAACACCAGATATAGTCGACTTATTGCTAATATAATATGTGAAACGGACCAACGGTTCTACAGACTTGACGCTGACCAATGAACGAAAGAGGGTCAATTTCAAAAGATCCCTGCCATATGGATAGGTACACAAAAAAAAAAAACTTAGTTGACCGTTTACATGTTGTATCCAAGAAATTAGACTTAAATATAAAAAAGCTACCGTTGATCAGGTGATTCATGAAATGCCTAAAACATGTAAATGTAGACCTTGCAATGATTATATATACCAAATATAGTTATCCTTTTTTCTCATACTAGTATAACGTGAGAAAATCACATGAAAAAAAAAAGTTTTTGGATTGATTGAATGACTGGTTTTTAACGCCACTTTCCGCACTTGCCTATTTCGTGGAGGTCAGTTCTTATTGATTGGGGAAGCCGGAGTGCCCGGAGAGAACAGCAGACCTTCAGCAGGAAAACTGACAATCCTTGCCAACGAAGACTTGTGACGAGCGGGGTTCGACATCACCGGTGATGACAGGCTAGTGATACAGTAGTTGAACCACTTAGACCACTCGGCCACCGAGGCCCAGATTTTGGAAGATAAGAGCTATTGTTCTAATTCTTTTATTTGGCGTCGCTCCACCAACCAGGGAGTAGACATCTAAACCATAAAAACACTAATAATGAATGTCAATGAAAATACACACAAAATAAAAAATAGTAAAAAAATGGGTTGTATATATCCTTTATATGTTAGAACCTATTTGCCTTCTGACAAAACATATGTGTTTTTTATTAATGTGAATGTTTATTAAATATCAAGTAAAATGATAACGCAATTATATAATCTATGCTTTGAGACGGTCCCTCTACGCGTTGTGTGTTGTGTATTTAAACAGCGTGTTGTCGTGCATTGTGACAATAAACCTGGGAATAGTTTACTGATATATAATGACCCAGAATAAACTGATTATTTCTGAACGTTTATCATTTGATATTGTGTATTTAGATCATAGCATGAGAATATGTCGGAAAGCAAAAAAGAAAATTTAAAAAACGATTTTTCTGTTTAAAATATTTATCTTAGGTCGGAAACACAGTAGTCGGAAAGCAGAAAGATACTCAAACAAAAAGATTTTTCTGTAAAAAAAAATCTAATTTCATTAATAGATACTACCAGACTAAGAGAATATTCATTGTTAAGTTTAAACTGAGACTGAACTTATTCTTAATAGAATATAATTAAAATTGTAATTTATACGTGCATTATCATGTCTCACAGATTTAAACAGTTATTACATGTATGAAAATTATATGTAATGTATGAGCACCAATGAGCAGGGATGCGTACCCAAAGTTAGCTAAATATCTAAATTTTAAACGGTCGTGAATGAAAATACGTTTCAAATCACACGCATTCTAAATCCTTGCATCTCACAAAAATTGTAATTATTATTTTACAATAATTATAACAAAATTAATAACTATCATAATGTTAATTGTTTTATACTGTTAAAATATGGATTTATAAGTCTCTGCTTATATTTTGTATAGTATATATATATTCATATAATCGAATTTTAGACTTTAAAAAGGGATTCATTTGATAAATACCATGTCCATACTCGACGTTTGTGTTTATTGATATTATATTCTAAATTTTCGGAAAAAGTTCACTAGCAGGAATGTATGTTTATTATACTATTTCAAATGACAATTCTTTTTTTGTTTGTTAATTGTTTTAATAGTTCAACCTTATAGCATCTAAATATTTGTTCTATGGTACAGTGTTGAAAATTGTATTCATTGTGTTGACCAGCTATCATACACGTCTTGATTCATTCACATTATACATCATCCTGTTCACACGCCCACTATCACAAAAATTCCGGATAAAATGTCAATGAATCCGGAGTCAAAACACTTAAGGTAGGTAGTTTGACATCCGAATTCAACTATGATATCAATATATGCGATGACGCAAATGCGTATTCCTATCCAGAGTATCAATGCGTATGCTTTCTATTTACTATTTCTTGGACAAAAATACCACATGCATTCATAAATATTAATTTCACTCGTGAATGAGAATTTTCGCTTTTCTTATTTAAATTCAAGACACGGCAGTAAGAGATTGACATGTGACTTTTAAGCACGGTCATCATGTTACTTACGGTATTCTGACCTCTAGCTGTTTCTCTTTTGTTTTCTTTTTTGAGTCACTGTCCTATTATTACCTGTGACAATTTCGATTTTTATTCGAGAGTCACTGATGATTCTTTGTAGACTTAACTCGCGTCTGGCGTACAACATTTTAATCCTGGTATCGTTTTATATCTACATATCTTTTATATAAATTGTTTCTTTTGAGAGTATGTTCAGGTATTCATGAAACTTCGTATATAAGATATTCTTCAAAACCAAGTTTCTCTGTAGAATATTTGGATTGATTTAAGTAAAATCAAGAAATCCTTAAAATTTGATATGTTTTATGAGACTAAAATAAGTCTCTATATAAGAGGGCCCAATGAAGCTGGTGTGTTACTCTTAAGAAAAATAAACGAAACCTTCTTATAAGTTGCATGCCACAGGGTTCCACTTCAAATGGAAATTGGACTTTAAAATTATCTATACAACATCTACCATGAGTTCATACAGCTTCAATAATGAGTTGAGAATTTGAAGGCATCCATGCAAGAAACAAAATATAAAGATATGACAGATAAAAACAAATGCATTCAGATTATAAAGCAAACTGAGTGCCTAAATTTATATTTCTATTGGTTTGTGCAATTTGCATTAGACATCTGGTTTGTAGAAACTGGGATTTGCAAAAGGGTTATGAAAAAAATATGTATATTCCCAGGGACTAATAAAATAGCCGAGCTTTAAAATGTATATTAAAATAGTAGCTGTATATATACACTTTTATATTCACAACTATACAGCATTGCTTTCAACTGACTTGTGCAATAATGTACACACAATTACATAGTTTTAATAAAGGTAGTTTAACATCATCATTATCCTCTTCCATTCACAGTCCATTATTTCAGTTCAAAAGCAAACAAAAATTCAGCAACAATCTTTGGTGACCAGCGATCTTAGGTTCACGTATTGCTTTTCTTTTTTTAAAGAAAGCAACTTGTTTAACCACCAGCTGTTCATGTTGACTCTAAAGAAAGATTCATGGCTGTTTTTAAGATAAATATTTTGAAATTCGGATTTTCTAATTGTTGGATGTGAAATTTCATAAATTATCTCTATTAAAAAGAAGCAATTATATATCTTTGTGAATATTCAAAATTTATCTCTTTTTTTTACAAGAAGTGATATGTTGTTGTTGTTGTTATTGGTTTTGGTAGGCGGCTTACTTATGTAGTAATTGTGCCTTAAATTCATATAAAATAAATATTATGTATATACGCTCATTCCTTAATTTATTTTTAGTATTACATTTTGGCGAGTAATTATATGAAACTGTGACGAACAGGGTTGACTGTGTTACAATAAAGTATATATATGGAAGGGGAAAAAACAACACAGAAACAAAAGGTAATAGGAAAATAAAAAAAAAATTAAAACTAAAAAAAAAAATGATAGTTCCTAATGAAATGTAACTTATTAACTGATAGGTATCATAACATTGTTTAGAAATTTCATCTGCTTGTTCACCCTTGTGTCGTCTATGATACATGTATACTTATAAAAAATAAAGTATAGTAAGAAACAAAGAACAAGACATGTGCTAGTTAAATGCTACCAAATGTAAGGACGTCTCCCACGATTGATGTAGCAGATAAAGAATCCTTTAGTAAGGATGGATATGTTTGTAGTTGTTCCTTTTCCATAACGGTCGCGTATATTGTTCCAAAT